AAAATACCGAAGGTTGCTTGCTGGTACAAACTCGTTGTTTTAAGACCCTTCCGATTACAGAGACGCATGCTTGTACTGTGGTACTAATGGGTGCTTTGGCGTCCTGGCGTGCGAGCACGATTGATTTTGCGGCAAGTTCCTTGACTGTGGAGAATACTTCCTTACGTTGTCGTCAGAATTGATGGGTCCTTCAGTTCCACGAAGTTCAACGGTTAAAGGTCTCGCGGGAGACTTGCTATTCGGAATGAACCATTGACATAAACTTATCAGACGATTGAACGTACGTGGATGCATGACTGTGGTTGGTTTTGAGTAATTCAGAATGGCCGCCTTTTTGCTTTTTGGAGAGCGGATGACTTGAGCATCAATAGGGTGTCCACGAAAATCTAGGGAGTTTGTCCTGATTTGATATTTCCGAACATCCAGAGTAATATCGTGTTTTTGCAGCCGTTCGGAAACGAGCAACGTGGGAATCTGGTTATGCGCTTTCTGTCTACTAACCTCCGTTTGCACATGTCAAAGAGTAGGTTATGATGTTGCGGCAGGTCTATATCAATGATCGGCGTAGAAACATCTGCAACAACGAAGATCCGGTTGATGAGTGTGCGTAAACCTGCGTCAAGGTACACATATTTTCGACCTTATGTGGTAATCGGTTTATGCATTTACTGTCGTCGGGATTTGCATGAAGTACTCCAACTTCTACCCCAAGTGTTGACGAGATAGTGAATGTTTTTAATCACGTCAGTGATTTACAACGGGAGGTCATGTTCGCTGGCCACGGTTATCGTTAACGTGTGCCGGTGAGAAAGTTTACCGAAGGACTCTTCGTATCGGACGGTTTAGGGATTGAGAATCTTCAGTGTTTTCTGCAATTCCTGAAGACTTTTCATACTTATTATGATGCCAGTATCAATAAAGATTATCTATCTCTCATGGTCTAGAGGCAGAGCCTTTTCGTGGTTATTGTTTTCCAAGACATCTGGAGCGTCTACGATTATGATGAATATTAAGGTAACGTGTAACAGTGTCACAAATGTCCCTGACGTCGTTTCGTGTCGTTTAAGGCTTTTTTTGACTGAACAAACCTCGGCGTTGAAAGTTCTGTTGATCTACAGAACCCGGTCGGTAGATACAGCTATTTCGTTTCTAACTTTATTTTGGAATGAGACAAGTATTGTCTGTGCCTGCTGATATTGCTTAGACAAGCAGAGCTGTCTAAACAAGTATCTGCCGAAGGTCCTTTGACCAATGGATTTGGTCTAACCTTTGCCGATCGGTTAGTTTTCCACGTTTAAGGATGGCCTTTTCTGAAGTTTCTTAAGGTTCCGAGCCATCATCAGTGAAGGTGCTGGGTGTAACGTACCTGTTAAAGTCGCGCGGTAGTGCCTTCGCTACTGCAGGGAATAGTGAACGTGATCCTGTGTATTAGAACCGAGTTTGTATATTGTCTGTCTAAAATGGGACTAGTTGAAATAAGGGAGGTGAAAGAGGTTTAATCTTAAGTAACTTAAGTGTCTCTGCCGACCCAGTCAAATCAGGAGTCAGAAATGAAGAGGTTGTAGTGGCATCAGGTCCTAACCGCACAACCCTCAAAGCTGAACACGAGACAACTTAGAAAATACAGATACTTAATATTCAACGCGGAAAAAGACCCAACGATGAAAAAAGGCGGGAACAATGAATTGAGTTAATTCGAGTTGATCGGGTGGCATGGCTCGTCTTTGCAGGCGCGGTCCCTGCTGAATGCTACCCTATATCTTTTACTCATATTAGATATATTGTTCTTTCTACAGCCTGAATGTCTTCTAAATCATATATTAGTAATTGTTAGTATGTGATGAGTCAGTGTAGACAATGATGTGACATCCACGTAAAATCTTATGGATTAGCATTTACATTGAAGCGTGGCGTCGAGTTGAGATTAACTGTGAACACCGCTACAAAGAAACACGTGCCAGACAAATCAGAAGGCGAGGATCGAACGTAACCAGATTTATTTCGTTGGCGATCTCGTGTTATTGAACGAATACCGAGATCGTGCCAAGAAGTGGTACAAGTGAAAGCAGAAGACAGGAGTACGTGCGAACAGTACCAAAAACCGCGGAACAATGATGGAAGGTAATGGAAGCACAAAATGGCTATAATAAGCACAGTTAAACAAAAGCACATTAAAACAAACACTGGTACAGTTGGTTATAATAATAATTGTTTTTATTAAACCAGTCGTGTTCTCGTGATGAATGTGAGTCACTACAACATCAAGAAAAATCTACAATTATGGGATTAGGTCTATTACTAGAGAAATACTAATATCGTAGTAGACCATAATTCTACAAGGTTGTATATATATATATATATATCTGAAAAGCTATCTCTATATCGGGAAGCGTTTAATCTAAGCTGGCCAACGGCTGTAGGAGCACGGCGTACCCACTCGTGATCTGATGCGGATGTGTGATCCAGCGTCTACAACCAGGTTTGTCCAGTAAAACTAACATGGTCTAAATCACACGTTGAGGACTCACAGAACTATTTATTTCGGGTATTTATTTACCACTATGGTGATATTTTTACAACACCTTTTACCATATCTGTCTCACTTGTAATCTTAAATGTTATTATTGTGATCTATAGCCCCTTGGGAATAAACCGTAACTGCTAATTAAATATTTGGTTTTGTGCATGATAGTAATGGGATACTAGTTATCCACTTAAGTTTTGTAAATTGAATCAATAAAAGTTCACTTTCGTTACCTGAGGAACCTAGACACACGGTGAATGGAATAAAGTGGGCCTCACCAATAATGAGAGCGCGAAATGTCTTCATTCGGCAACGCAGCACATACGAGCTCAATAGCTAATCAGGCTTTAGGCTGATAGCATTTCGAAATGCTGATCAGTTCATAATAAACAGTGATTCGGCACCTCAGAAAGACGGCTATTGGGCGTTAATTTAAGTGATTTCAGTTCGAACCTCACTTAAGTAATCGGGTAACTCTTCGGCTTTGCATCAGTTTGATTCAAACAATATGTTTGTTTCAGTTTGCAAAATTACCGGGGTGATTGCGCCATTGTTTAGTGGGGAAATGATGCACGAAAGTAGTTGTTCTAGTTAGGTTTGGTAGTGATGTTCCTAAGCTTTGTAGTTTTCCTAGATCCATTCTTGAACAGGTGATACATGTAAGTGATTGCTTCGTGAACAGCTGAGAATATCAAGTCTCGAAAATCCTTCCTGTACGTTTGCGAGGATACGGTATTTCTGCCGGCCTATGTTTAGTGGTATTGTGAACTGTGTGAAGTCAGCCTTACGATTATAAGTTGCCTCTTGCCAGTTTCCTACTTGACTCTTGGTTAAAGTTTGTAGTTTAATAGCACCCTGAATGAGGAAAATTTTCCGAGAAGTTGATCTTGCATAATACTGGAAATACTAGTTTCCAGCACTGATTGGAAATACTGAAAATCGTACAACTGAAAAGTACATAAGAGAAATTGTTTTTGCTGTCACACTCCGCCTTATCAACGGCACGGAGGAACACAACCGTCACAAGTTCGCTGAATCACAGCGCCCAAACACAAAACAAATCGTTGGTAAATAATAAAATGACGTTGGTTTGTATTAAACAGTATATCTGATTGTTAGCTGAAGTATACAAGAGTTATATAACCAATCCTGTTGACAAGAAACAAGGAGGAAATAACAGTACAGGGAAAAAAGAAGGAGAACAGGAAAGAGAATGATAGAATAGTAAGTGACGAAGAGAAAAATATGGGTGAGATTATAATCTATTGATGATTTCTGATTAATATTAAATTGTTCAGTTTACTTGGATCAAAATGGAGCTATAAAGTAGCGTGAAAAATCGGGTTTATGAGTTAAAGTTAGAAGTTATGGTTAGGAATTTTGACGAGGGACTTCATCACTAACCAATATAAGTCCTAATGCGCGAATGTTATTCAGACATATGGATAAAGGAAGTTATAGTTCTGCCCCATGAGAGTTATTATTCAGTCCTCACTTAAAGGTTTCTGTTATTGAAAATCTTAATCATCCACACAGCACTAATTCGTAAATTGAAAAAGGAAAATTACTCTCAAGCAGTTGTATGTTTGACAGGCATCACCTCAGAGACCATTTCTTAGGTTTAGCAAATCTATGGGATTATTTTGTTATGACGACCTGGGTCAGTAAATATACTGTGAGCTGTGATTGATAGCCTCTAGGTTCTACCTTCCTCAGCTGCCAAATCTAATGAGGACTTTTTTATTCTTAAGCCTAAGCTTCCTTACATTCTATATCTTTAAATTTTCTTTAACGGATTTTGTAGGTAAACGACCTATTTTGTCTCAAATATTATGTCGTATATGAAGCTTCACCGATCTACAGTTTTACAATATATTCCGTAGGATGTCAAACAAGAATCCTGAATCTCCATGATTCGTTCAAAGGATTTGGTGTGACTGGCTGAGAAGTAAATCCAGTGGTTGCTTTTTATTTCTGGCCTCTATAATTTATACTTTATTTGACAGACGATTTACCTAAACTGATATAGAGAACACTAGGAGAAAAACTCTCATATTTTAATTGTTTAAATACTCTAAATACTGGTAGCATAGTTTAACGACTGATATTTCGTATTGTCATAAGTAAATATAGTTAATATCAGTAAAATGCATTAAAATATAAGTGTCAACATGAAGTGGAATCACAAAAACAATGAACAAACAGAATAATCTACCGGTATTGTTCATGATGAACTTTTAAGTACAACTATGTGATTGAAAATTAATAAAAAAGCGTCTCTAGATTAGTTAGTATTGTGATGTAAATATGTAGAGATTGTGTAATACTCAAATTACCATCAGAAATATGATAAATATAAACTATTATTTATTTAATCTGCAAAATATTAGTTTGTCATAGATATTGGAAAAGAAACATTGTGGAGAAAATTAGTAAACAATCCTATTCACAACAGAGCCATCAGAAAACATTGTTACTAGTCAGCGTTTAAAGTAAGACATACACCTTGTAACACCCAATGACTTGGATGAACTTCAGTTTTTAAATGAGCTTCAAAAACTAATCCAACTCCCATTGCATTCCGTCTTTCTGAAGTAACGTAAACTGGAGTACAAAATGTGTTTTGCAATTTTAAACGATGGGCTTCAATGGCACTAACTCGAAGAATAGGCAAGGGTTGAACTAGTTGTCGTGACTTTTGACGTTTCAAACAACCTTTAGCTAAATCCCAGCTTGCACCTTCTAAATACAGTCCTTGAACAAAACATCCTTGATGTGCTCGTTCTTGTATTTCAGTGGAATCTGTATATTGAGTTACTGCTGTAAATAATGCACTTTTGTCTAATGGCCATCCATTGCGACGACATGTTGTTTGAGTTAAAGCCATCAGAAACGATTCAGGAATATGTAGACCTGATAACCAAATGACACCTGGATCACCATTTTCAATCTGTGTAAAAAAGTAAGATATTGAATAATAACATTGAAAAAATCCGCACTAACATGTATAGAGTGAAATTTAGATGAAAAAAACGAAAACTTTCCTAGATTCACTTATCAATTAAAATTATTTTCACATCTGCATAATTTACAGCCTGTTGGTCATATAATCAAACATGTTTACATTTTATCAGGATAATATTTCAGGGTTAACATTAATTGCACGGCCATTTTTGTATTTTTTTTTCGAGTGAAATATTTTTTTCATTCCCATCTTCCAATAATTTTCATTCTTTAAAACAATTAGTCCCTTTGATAAATTTCGATAATGATATTAGAAGACGAAGATTATCAGAACTATGTGGTATATTAGCGCAATACATTTCGAACAATCTGGTCACACATATACTTGTTAAGAGCATTCCTGTCTAGTTGACCTTTTATTTTTATATATAAATGCGCTAATATATCACATAGTTCTGATAATCTTCGTCTTCTAATATCATTATCGAAATTTTCATTCTGTTTCGTCCAATCAAATAGCTAGTTTTGAGTTCGTTATAATTGGTCATTTATTTCTTAAAATCGATATAAAATATCTGGACTTGATGACATGAACCTTTTCTTCCAGTTATGGACGGTAGTAACGTACACAGCGCGACCTCTGTCATTCCTCACGTTATCACAGGAGCCGATAACCTATTCTTGAGCACACTGTATCTCGTAGCGTCTCAATCACCTGAAGAGCGCCGTTAAAACTTATGAAAGAGCTAAGTACTGCCATTATGCGGTGAGAGATTCCCATTTCCAGAGATCGGAAGCTGTATATTATTTGCAATCTTGCACAACCGCCAAATGAAACTGCTGATGGATGTGCCTGGACTTTTTGTTCATGCGAAGCAATGCTTCGTTTATTTTGTGCTTACTACCTATCACCATTTGTCCATGGAATCCACTGTCCCATGTATAGTGCTATGATGGAATCATAGCAACGCCTTTGTTCATGAAATTCGAAACTGTTAAGAGAACGAGTAAAGGCCCTTTTCAGGGCCACCCACAATTTGATTTAAATTTTACTTCAGTTCCTTATTTCCATGGCAAAGGTCAAGTGGTGAAACCATCAAAATTCATTTAAGATTAATAATCATTATGTGATTATCGCCCACGTATTGGTAAACGCTTTTTAAGCTTTATCAAATATACGGTTTAAGTAAACGATTTCGTATAGGAAATGTCATCTAATAAACACTAATCTGTCCAACGATAGTACATGCAAAACGTATTCAGAATATTTCAATGTTTTGTCATATAGTTACGATAGACGAATGTAGTACTACCAACGACATTATTTCTATGGGAAAGGTCAACTGAACCAACACTAATGAGTTCTAAGTAAGCCTTAGTGACTAAGCAGTATAATCAATTGAAATTTTTATAAATTTCGTGGATTAGTTGAAGTCAGACATTATTAGGTTTTCCATGGTGCTCTAGCCTCAATTCAGTCATGATCTCAACTATTAAAATCAAAGAAATAATTCTGTCTGACTGTTCCATCCGAGTTTTGATCAAAATGTTAACTTTAAAAAAACGCCAACTTCACTACCGTGCTATACTCCTGCCAGTGAATGTATATCGGAATAGATTTTTTTTCGAACAAGTATATATGGAACTGAAATTTTATGCCACAAGCTGACGAAGCTAAATCAGAGTGATATACAAAGAAGATGGTCGTGAAGTAGATTGAGAGATAGAAGTCGATCATGTCCTAGGAGACGCTAAGCTCATACAATATGTTGGTACCATCAAACTTTCGGCGACAAAGCTCGAAACTGTAGACCACCATGGAAATCCAAACGATCACACCGATTGTCGGTAACCCCCGCGACAACTGGAACAGCTCCTAGAAACAGTCGTTTATTTTCGGTTCAGAACAGAGTAATAGGCGCTCAGTTCTTAGTGGACACGGGAGCAGAAGTAAGCGTCGTGCCTCCAGTGAGTAATGAAACACGAAATATCAATACAGCGCTAACGCTTAAGGCAGCAAATAAATCCGATATAAAGACATATGGCAAACGAAAAGTAACCTTGAATTTTGGTCGTATTACTTCATTCCTCTGGGAATTCATTATCGCAGATGTATCCGTACCTATAAGATTTCGACTTATTAGTGGATACCCGATGAAACCGGCTCATGAACATTGACCGTTCAGTAGTGATAAGACGATTGACAACCGATTACGTATCCATGAACTTAGTAGTATCAAAAGACAAGAGCGAGCAATATAGATCGCTTCTAGACGAGAAGGCGATATTAGTACGACGAAAGAACGAAGTGTCAGACGCGTTATCGAGAACGATGGTAAGCGCTCTCATCCAATCCGAAGTCGATTATCACAAATTAGCAGCATTGCAAAATATGGATGTTGAGTTAAACAGACAAAGGTCTGCCAACACAACCTCGTTAGTACTCAAAGAAACTCCATTTGAAAAAGTAAGCATCATGTGTGATTCTCTACGGGCCAACCACGACCATTTATTCCAAAGCCATTAAGACGAGACATTTTCGAAGCTATAAATAATATTTTGCATCCTGGAATAAAGGCCACCATCAAACTAAGCAGCGAGCGTTTCGTATGGTCAAGTATGAACCGGGATATTCGTAACTGCCAGAAAGTTAAGATACATCGCCACACTAGTTCCGCAGTAGGTCATTTCCGTCACCCTGATAGCAGATTCGAGCATATACATGTCGACATTGTGGGACCATTGCCGATTTCAAGTGGCTTTAGTCATATTTTCACCTGCATTAATAGATTCATGCGATGGCCTGTAGCAGTGCCCATAAAAAACATTGCAGCCGAAACTATAGCTAAAACCCTAGTGGAGCATTGGATTTCTTATTATGGCGTGCTTACTAATATCAAGACTGATAGAGGAGTTCATTTTGAGGGCCGCCTCTTCCAACAATTCAGAGCTCCTCGGAATCAAAGGAGTTATCACAACATCCTACCATCCGATGTCGAATGGTATGGTAGAGAGATTACATCGGCAAATTAAAGCCTCTCTTACAGCTGTTATTAGCAATAATGATTGGGCCAGCAAGCTCCCATCAGTCATGTTGAGTTTAAAATCAACAATCAAACAAGATATAGGATGTTTCACAGCAGAGTTGGTTTATGGAACTACTCTACGTCTACCAGGAGAGTTTTTCACCTCAGGTTAAAGTGTTCCACTTGATATAGCAAACTATGTACAACGTCTAAAACAGCATATGAGTAATCTAAGAGTAACGCTTCCGAGACAACATCGACACTGGGTATACATACCAAAACAACTGAGCGACAGTACCCATGTGTTTATCAGAAGGGATAATGGTCAGCGTCTCTTACAGTCGGCCTACGATGGTCCATTCAAAGTGAAATGATAAAACTATTACGGTAGACAAAGCTGGAAAACGGATGTAATTAGCATCGATCGAGTCAAACCAGCTTTCATCGGAGATGACGATCAGCCAGTACATACAGATACTTCGAAAACCGTCAAATCACCGAAACGTGAGTTCCAATTATCAACAACATCGACGAAGACAAACGAAGAGAATCCAGTAACGACAAGATGTGGTCGAAAAGTGAGATGGCCACAATGATACATAGCTAGGATTTTGAATTAATAATTTCTTTCGCCTCTTCGGATGTAAATTTCTTTCATCTTCGTTTTCTATGTACACATAGAAAATTTTAACTTATCTATTAATACATTCGACATATTTTATGTATTCTTTCGATCTTCCGTTATTATCTTATTTGACCTCACGGACATATACGAACTCAAACTTACACGTATTTGTTATAACTTACACGATAGTTCTATCATACATTTTAATCTCGTAAATTTCGATATTTACCATACCGTTAAATTTGACATTTTTCGCAAACCCAGACACTACTTTGTATCTTTGTTTGCTGGGGGAGCTATTATAGTAACTCACGTGCAATTTTGTTCACATTTATTTCGATTAAGTCATTTTGTTAACTTATTAACGAACGTAGTCATTCGTACAACAACAACTTATCTATATAATTGTATCTTTATTATTGTTGCGAATGTATGAACATGTATGCTTGAGTATTGCTTACTACTTACACATATATTCACTCTGCTAGCCATGCTATTAGTCGCTTAATTGATTCGATGATTCATTCATTTCACTATGTAGATATATGTCCATTTTATCCATGTTTATTGCTCTCTGGCTTATTTGCACCCGCTTATTTGTACTCGTTTACTCGTACTCATATTCTCTAACTCACTCGCTCTCTTGCCTGCATGCTTTTCGGCACAACTCTTTCATGCTTGTTTAACGCACTTGTAATTTTGGATATATGTGTGTGGCCCCATAATAAACGTAATCAACACATCGTATTCGCCTTCTGACTAATATACCGTTGGGGCGTTATCTAGTGACGGTTATCAAGACGAACTGTATACGAAGTTTAAGGACTATACTGAGTACCGACTACCACAAATTCTTTCTGGTTGTACCTTTCTCTTTCCCCCATTCTTCTTCTTCTTCTTCTTCTTCTTCTTCTTCTTCTTATTATTATTATTATTATTATTATTATTATTATTATTATTATTACACCACTAATCTGTGGTCGATATTGTTGTTTCTTCTTCTCTCTTATACGTACCTTACATTCTTTATCTCTTCCCATTCTCATCGTTATTGTGTAGCGCATATATATCTGGTGCCCTCTTGTACCAATATGTGTTTAAATAAATCAATAAAAATAAATTGTAGAACCTGAAGAGAATTTATCGAAAAGAATATTCCTTGTTCAACTAGTAGTCTTTTAATATGATGAGGATCTTTAAACGATATATATAGTGTTATCTTAATTTTAATTTCTATTAGCTGATTACTTTTCATATCAATCAGTATAGTAGTTAATCTATGGTAAATACATCATTCAGGAAGATAAGTACTAAAGATATCTAAGTATCTAAATATAATGGATATTGAAGTTTTATCGAAGTCAATAGAAGTTAGTAGTTTTCATTGATCATAAAGGAGTATAATGCTCATATTTTTACATTAAAGTCAAAATGATAAAAATCGAGTTTTTTTCCACTTTAATCCAGCAAAAATAAATATGACCTTGTAAATATGTATGAAGGTTGGATCAAATAATTGGATCAAATCTTAACAGTTCATGGATCTGATTTCTCATGACTTCAAGTTTAAATGCCTATCTAAATATCATATTGTGTACAATTTGTTATAGAAGGTAAGTTAATATGTGGATTATAGGTAGTTTTGTACCTCATCCGAGTTCATCCATGTCATTAAACAAATGTACATTATTTGAAAAACATTCACACGACAAGAATATAATAAAATTGAATTCAATCCCATTATTATTTGATTAGCGTTTGAAATTGTTACATTAACCTACCAGTCATAATACTCCGTAAAACTGCACTATGTTAAGTTCAAATTCGATTTTCAGTATTAAGAAGAATAAAAATCGAGATTTCAGTCTTTAACTGTTCCAATAAACTCAATCCACTCATTACTGCATCAGAATAAACTATTACTTAACTATCTATTAATGTTGGATGTTAATCTACGTTTTAGAATGCTTCACTACCAGACATTCCTTAAGGAACTATGAAAAAGGAATATATTTTAAAAAGCTACCGCAAACTGTTCATTTGGTTGTGTTTTTTGGGCTGGCTCCAGGTAGCGGGATCATTTAACTTTTTAAAATAGATTGCTGAATGAACTCCATTATCGATAATTCAGGTGATTGCGAAGTGACCTGAACACAGTGCTACAAGAAATTTTTTTAGCATTCTTTGAATTTCATCAATCAGTAATTTTACGTTTTCTAAATCAAATTTATACACATGATTGTCTGGGTGTAACACAATCAAAAGCACCTTTAGGAGGTACAAATCTTCATCGTTTTAAAATATTTTTGTATGGTATTGGAAATAAAATTTTATTATAAACTTAAAATTTTCTTCATTTTGTGTTGTTTGTTTGTATCTTCCCATCGATGTTTAGGACTGAAATTGATCAGTTTCTTATTGGTATATATGCATTCCGTGCATATCGCCTCAATATTGCCTTAAGTCACAAGCATCATAAGCAAAGATGGATGGTGGCTAGTAGTGGAATCCAAGACACGCATTTTATCCAGCTGACGGGTCCTAAATAGGAAAAAACGCGCGTCCTGGATTCCACTTCTTGCCACCATCCATCTTTGCTCAAAATTTTCTTATTAGAATAAATTAAAATAGGAAGGATAATGTAATGTTATGTAAGAAACTTATTTTATAAATTTACCCAAGTAGTGTATTGTTTATGACGATCATGAAAGTGTATCATCCAGTTGCCTAAAGACTTTTTAGTCGCCGGAGCTAAACGCTGCCATATGCTTGGCAGTTGGCCATTAAATAGGGAACGTGCAACATTATCAAGTTCGGCTGACATACCAACTTCCCCATTCAATGCACGTTTCAATGTTCTAAGGGTTTGATCCATTCGTTTGATGAGTAAGTTAAACCTCTCTAGTTCCTAAAATTAAGATAATTACAAAGTAGATACATTCATTAGAAAGTGTAAGAATGCCATATTAACAATATTTCAGGGTTCAAAAAAATGTTTGGAGGTGAATGACTCACGATAAAGATCCTGAAGTCTAGAGTTTAATCAAAACAAAACTAGATGGGATGGTTACGAAAGATCGTTAGAAAAGATAGTGTACATTTTACCTTTGGATAGTGACCAATCGTGTATATCCTGCAGAGTCTTAGATCACCATCTTTTTGTTAACTTAGTGCATGACATGTTCAATAGAAGATAAGTGGGATTGGTCGTCTGTTTGACTTTTTGCAGACAAGATGCATTTTTCAGGCCATAATAAGCAAGATAGAGCACTGTATTTAATCAGGACTAAATATATACGTATATCTTAGTGACGATAAGGCATGCGTTCTTATTACTGACATCATTTCGTTTCCGTTATCGTAGCTACAAAAATTACAGTGAGAATACTTAATTCATTTTTAATGCCAAAATTATTTTCGGGACACTTTTCACGATATTGTGGATGAAAATCCTAATGATTCATAAATTTACCTGACTATACAGCTAGTTAAAATTCGTTCACTTGACGCCTTTCTCAATCATGTTGAACATTGAAGTCTACAATGCCGAAATGGAATTCGTTAAAAATCGCTGATTTGTACACATTTTGTTAGCACTTTTATAGCCAATTATGTTTCACAAGTTAAAATTAAATTCATTTATTTATTATGATCTTCAGTTTGAGAAAACTACCAAGAACAGTTTTACTGCTTAAGCAGAGCAAATTTTCCTCAAATGCCAAGGGTAGGGAGAGTTAGCTCTCCCCCTAGAGATGCTCTCACATGGCCACGTGCATAAAAACACTGCCAGGAAAGCCCCACTCACTGCTTTCTTGTAACGGGGGTGTTGTTTACGAACTTGGGAGGAAGAAAAGTGAATGTCCGGCTCTTTAACCAAGTTGGTGGACATGGAGGTTTCACCTAGGGGAGCTGGAAAACCCTGATTCCAAACCAGTGATGCACATGAACTCTAGGATCCTGAAGGAACAAATGGCGTATGAACCAATCGTTGGTCACCAGTTACCATGGAACTGCATCTCCTTGCATTGTTCCACTGCGATGTGGATCAGACCTGTAGGTCGAAGGCTCCGGGTGTGGCCTCCTAAGAAAACCATCTGCTTCGGTCTGGGAGCCTGGGCATTATCATAGCCCACACACAAATCAAGTGAGTTGTGTGGCGCATGTGTATTCGGTGTCCCTTTGTACCAATATTTATGCGTTCAAATAAATAAATAAATAATACTTGGGAGAGAAATGATTGACATGGGAAGTTTTACTAACAAGAGATAAATAGAGTGATTATAATCCATCCGTACCTATGTCGGACCATATTTATCTAGGTAGAGGTGCGCGAGCGGCAAATAATCCATTTACCTTAGTATGATAATAGTTGCATCTTCGTAGATATCATCTTCTCTGACTTGTTTTACTTAGTACATCAGTATTAAATTAATTAGATATAAAAATTAATGGATAACTGACACGCTCAACAGTTGAACGTTACTCATCATTATAATTGGGCGGCCTGCTTGAGCATCTGGGCTACCTGTTCCTGTCATCTAAATATTTCAACAAATTATCTATTTTTGTTTGTTTTAATATATCATTATGTATATTAATCGCATAACCCATCCTAGTGCATTTCTGAAAAGTTTACAACCTTTCGTTGTCAAAGTTACAAAAGCCTAATAAGAGATAATGTGGTCGCTGGCAATAAGCAGAGAAAAGAATATACATTATTCAGATGTTTATTTACCGGACTGCTAACATCTAACTGGCTATCACTCAATATTTATCGTCAGGATCGACCAAGAAGAAAGAAACGGAAACTTGTTGAAATACTTTGTGCTGAGAATTCTATATTGTACCAATAATATAATTTTGAATAAAGCTTATAATAATAATAATAATATCTAAGTATTATGATTTTAAGTTAACTGACTAAGTAAATGTTCAAATCAAGGTGTTCCTGTCAGTAAAAAACATGTATAACGTGTATACTTAGAGAATAGCATATTCCTAACGCTTCTTATAAACATTTCTAGAACTAGTGACATTAAAAGTATAAAGGTGAATATTCTAATGAGATATTGAAACTTCCACTTAATAATGTTGCACATTACAAAAATTTCATTCCTAAACATGTTTACCTGTAATAAAACAACTGTAATTGGTGGTATATTTACGCCTAATTTTTTTCTTAAAGCTTCTCTATCAAATATTTGTGGTAGACTAGTTAATAAACCTTGTGTTATTTGTGAAATGAACTCTTCACGATTTGTTGAATTTGTTTGACTACTTGTCTGTGGTTGTAATTCAAGTAGATAACTCCAAATTTCTTTGGTTGCATTTGTATAATAACCTATTTCAGCGTTTGAATGAAGACCAAAAACTTCAGGTGTATTAGTTAGTGGGAGCGATTCAATATAACCTGAAATGTGGAAATTATAAAAAGAATTTATTTGTCTTATCCAGTTCATTAAAAAGAAGTTAGCTAAATCAAATGGATGATTTTACAAGATATAGGGACAGTTTAATTAATATTAATGGATGAACTTTACGTCTATATTATTTCTGGATCTTGAGTATAATATTTGATTAGTAATACCTGCTTTATTCAATACTAAGTATTTGATTACAGTACGAAATATAGAATATTGCAGCAAAATTCCAATTATCTATGTATTTGAATTGTTAAGATTAAAGAAATCTGAGTAAAAATATTTTCGACAGTGATTAGCTGATGCTCATATTTATCCACAAATGTTTACGATTAGTTGTACTTTCATGACACCACTTTTCATTATCGAATATATTTGATACATGTAGTATATAGTAATCTCGTTTCACTTCTCTAAAGGATAGAAGAGGAAGAAAATATTACTAAACATACTGGTGATTCTCACAGATTGAAATCATGAGTCAGTTGAAGCTAGACCACCATTGAAAACCTGGAATCATCTGCTCACTAGTGACTGACTTCAAGAGATATTCCTGGAGTTATAGTGGGAAGCCGTTACCAGTGGAGTACAACCAGGTCTGTTGTGAGATATCAGCTCACTGAAGACAATGGTATATGGTGGCGCAACTTCGTGGATTGGTTGAAGTTAGACATTAACACCGTTGGATGCCGGCTCAGTGGTCTAATGGTTAAGTGCTCGCGCGCGAGGCCAGTAGGTCCTGGGTTCGAGCCCCGCGTGGTGCGGGATCGTGGATGCGCACTGCTGAGGAGTCCCATACTAGGACGAAACGGCCGTCCAGTGCTTCCAGGTTTTCAATGGTGGTCTAGCTTCAACTGACTCATGATTTCAATCTGTGAAAATTTCTAAAATCTCCACAAACCCCTTCTGATACTGGTGATTCTTTAATTTCTCAGTTATTAACTTCACAATATATTGTAAACATTTAATACAAGTGTATATATCCACACAATTATCATAATTAGTAGACTGGAGAAAATATAAACTCCAAAAAAATTATGGCGATAAATACATGTTTGGAAAAGACTGACCCCCAATTTTAACCAGTCTGACGAATCAGATTACCCATTAATAATCACGGTTGGTTAGAAATTTATTGTTACCAGAAACTTGTATTCGGATGGATTTTAAAGGAAGCTGTGTCGCACATAGAATTATAAAGTGTGTAAAAATAGGTTATTAAGACAAAAGAGACCATTCACTGGACCAAAGTTCAAATTCAACCTCAATATTTTTTGCTGCAGAGGAGCAATAAGCGCTGTCGTTCTACAATGAATTCTCCATGGAAATATTTCTCTTTACGTATGTTAATTTGACTGGCTAATAGATCAGAATATAAATTATTAGTTGATTTGCAGGCTAATATCCTATCACTACTACGTTGACTTCAAGTTTAGCATATAATTAGAGTAATTTCTTACAGTTTCTCAAACCAGTCAGTCAGTAACAACGTAGAACTTCGTACGTACGTACATCAGTTCGAGTTGCCACACCACATTAGCACAGAGATGCAGTGGTCGATTCAAATCCCGTAGTGGTAGAGGTAATAAGAGTATAAGCAGTAATCGGGAAAATTAGTGTTTGGAGATGTTATTTAAAAAGTATAATACAGTGAAATAAATTTGGGAAGAGAGAAAAAGAGACAAGGAGAAATAAGGAGATCAAAATTCGGGAGAACACAAAGAGTGTATGCACCTGCGCCATTACAAACGATTTTGAGCCATGTCATTCAGGGTCTCTAACCAGTCAGTCGCTGATTATTCAAAAATATCAGGACGTTGATCATGTAACTTTAACCAAATTTTTCTGATTAAACATGAAGTATAGCTATCAGTTAAAGCGACATCGCACTGAACGTTGTTGACTATTAAATGATGATAGATAACTGATATGAAGCCCCGTTTGATTTAGTAGTTGTGCCTGTTGAGAATTTTTGACAAACAGTGATGTAGCCAAGCAAAAACGTATAATCTCTCAAAATGCAAGTTATCAAATTGTCCCAGCGTTTGACAGTCAGTTTACTAACTAGTAAAAATCTTCATTGTGATGAGTCAATGATGACATTTCAAATATTTCGTTATTTCCTACATTTCATTCATATTTTCAAAGGTCTTTCATGTACATCATTTATTGTAAGAAGTTTATGTAAACCTTCACTTTCTTTTTTTTGGTGGAGTTTTGTTCTCTGAGCTGGATGGTTTGGTTGTGGAGCTTTCATCTTTCTTCTGAATGACACCGCCAGCACAAATCTTCTCCACCTTCACTTTCTATTTCACTTACCTTTCAAAAGTGATAGACTTTACAAATGCAAACTGACAGATTCTAACTTAGTGGATCAGTGTTATCAAGCTTACTACAAAACTGAAAGATTCAGATTTCAATAGTACAGGAAATTACGAGTTAAAAGATGAATTGAAACAATTATCCAGTACTACATGATTTGCAATGATTTTTTGAATAATAACTCGTATGTCTTTATCTCAACTGAATGTAAAGAGGAAAACTTGATTTTCATTAGGTGATAGACCGGGTCAGGTCACATGCTGATACAAGATACTAGATAGATTACTTACTGTAGCAAAGATAAATGATAAGTAAGATACCCAAACTTTACTAAATGTGTTGCTAGAGAGTAAATTTGTTAGCGGGATATAGATTGGATTAAAGCGTGCTCGATGCACGATTGCGTTGGTGCATGCTGACTGGGTAATTCTTATCCAATCAGCGCTAGTCGATACTTGGAGGACACTCTAGAATCTTTTCATGTAAAAAAACTATAAATACACTAACTTTTCTCCTACTGGGCTTCTTACTTCCATCCAACCTTGTTATTTTGAATATAATCTATTTCTCGTTCAACCGTGTTCTGATTTGGGGACTTGTCAAATGAGTTGGTGTCCAAGAATACTAAGCAATAAGAATAACTGGGTTGTAATAAGAGAGAATTATAACAGAACTATTCATCTACTAAAGACCGCGAGTCATCTATGTATGTCTGATTCATTGCACTATCATGTATAAATTCATTGAGAATTTAGAGTAAAGTTTTCAACTTACTCTTTATTATTATTTCTTTTAGAATTATGTATAGCTGATTATAAAAGTAAACTCCATCAGGGAGCACTAGTTCCCTCAAGATTACAAGTACACTTTGCTGACTAGTGTCAAGTAGCACGAAACCCGGGTCCATGGTTTCCTGTTGACTACCTCCAACCACGATCTTCTCTCAACATAGTGCACGCAGTATCGAGTCAGCTAGACTAGTGGCCACATTGCAATTTGGTCGATAGCATTCGATCTGCACTAAGAAGGACTTGACACACATGACATTGATCATCATCTAGTGACCAATCAACTGTGAAAAGTAAACTCCTCCTGGACCCCCTCTGAGGCTACTACTGATCCCAAACCCGTATAAAATAGAACGGTTGGATATGGTGTTAGTGACCCTATCCCATAGAAAACTAACTCGCTAAAAAAACGCTAACCAGATTAGAGAAGTAATAAGTAGTATGCATTAGCCATTGAATTGAATTGATAAACCATAACAATAATTCTGTTAACATTAAAATAATAGTTGAGACCATGAGTCACTTGAATCTAGACCACCATGGAAAACCTGAAAGCAATGGACAGTCTTTTCGTCCTATTATGGGACTCCTAAGCAGTGCGCATCCATGACCCCGAAGTTAGACATTAACACCGTTGGATGACGGCTCACTGGTTCAGTGGTTAAGCATTCGCGCGCGACACTGACAGGTCCTGTGTTTAAATCCCGTGAGTCGGAGTCGTGGATGTGCACTGCTGAGGAGTCCCATACTAAAACGAAACGACCGTCTAGTGCTTCCAGATTTTCCATAGTAGTCTAGCTTCAATTAACTCATAATTTCAACTATTGAAATTACTACAATCTTCACAAAATCCCTTCTGATAAAAATGATAGTTAATAAATGTCAATATAAAAATTTCTTTCATTTATAAAACTTACGACTGAATTCATCACGTGTATTACCATTTGGAATAGAATATTGAAAATGTTTATATGAATAAAAACAAAATGGTTGATATGTATCAAATATAAAATCACCAAAATATTCATTCATATATGTTTTTAATATACGTCTATCATATTCATCAATAACTCGTCCACCATACATTACTTCACCAATTAAATATTTTAAACTATCCCATGGAATTTTTATTTCATTTTCATGTATAGATTTTTGTAAATAAGTGATTAATATTTGCATAGATACACGAAAATCGGATTCATTAAAATCATATATAATATTCCAACCAATTTTACCAAATTTTCTACGTTCTTGTATAACAGCATGAAAAAATGTTAATGTATAAATTAATATTGGAAATATTGAATGAGAATATTCATTAAATAATAATGATGATGATGATGATGATGATGAGATTTTTGAATATGTTGAACGTATATTTAATTTTAAATTATTCGGTGATTCTGTCACGACTTTTAATGAACGTTGTAATATACCAATTGGAAATGTATCACATGGTTCAGTTGTTAACCATAAACGAAAATCTGGATGTGGTTTTATTAATTTTTCAATATATTTTTCTAAAATAATTAACCATTTTATTAATAAATGACAATTTTGTAACATTAACCAATTACCATGGATAATAGATAATTCTAATAGATTTTGAGCGTTTTTCTCTTGACCTTGACCCATAGATAAAAATTTTATACGATTTATATCAAAATTTTGTCTTTCAGCAAATTTAATTAAATCGGATGTTGGATCTGAACCAGGACTTAAAATAAATACTATTGGTGATCTACATGTAGTTTGTTCATATATTGTTGTAAAATTTAATATTGGTGGACTAACAAAATCTTCACTCATTATATCTGTAATATATAATGTAATAGCTCGATAAATTCGATCTATACGAAAACATCGAAGTAAACAAAGTCGTTGAAATTTACTTAATTGTTCATTATAATTTCCTGGAATTGATATACTTTCTGGATTATCTGATTCGTACCACTAAGAGAAATTTAAAACAGAATAAAGATAGGTGAATAAAACTCATACATATACATATCATCAGAAGGGGTTTTGTGGAGATTGTAGTAATTTCAATAGTTGAAATCATGAGTCAATTGAAGCTAGACTACCATGGAAAACCTGGAAGCACTAGACAGTCGCTTCGCTCCAGTATGGGACTATTCAGCAGTGAGTATCCAAGACCAATAATTTCAGTATATATATAGCCAATTGAGTTATACTTTGATATTATGCAATGTAATCTCGTCTATTCACTAAAATCTGATACAATGACAACAATTTTACAACTTTTTTCGTTTGTTATTGTCCAAATTCAATGATTTTGTGGGATTTCTTAGTAAAAAAACTGATTTCAATTGTAGATCATTCAATTTGATACTATTTTTACTGGTTTAAAAATTCAGTCAATAAATTACAAAAGTATAATTTTACAATATATGTGTTAATACGTATCTGGTATATTCTTTGAACGTATACCCGTTGAATTATCTTGGATTTTCAATAAAATGTTTTATAGTATGTGTAGTGTCAGTTATTATGGCAAGCCCATACACCTTATTCAAACATCCGGACATCCTATTTTATTCATTTTACTTGAGCCATATTTTGACCTTGTCAATTATTCGCTTATTAGCCTTGACTGTTTTCACATGAGCGTATATGTGTGTGCCCGTCTTATCCCATGATTCATCACATGTCTGTAGTTTATTTTGTCTGCCTATAAATACTGAGTAACACTTAATTAAAATGGAGTTGGCTTCCCAGCCATCCTCCCTACGTGTCATTGTGCTCTGCTCTGTTTCATATACGAAATATATGTATTCTCAAGTCAATTCTCGTTATTCGACTTATTTAATTCCGTTATTGACTAACGCGATTCAAGTCGACGATGATTATAAACGAGAATCAGCGATAACAATCATTCATACACTCTAAATGGAGTCAGATCAAACGAGCCACTTCATATGTAAGAAATAAAATGAATCAGCTCATGAATGACGTTAGACGTCCTGATTACCAGCTACTGTCCAAAATATAGTTGTTCAGAAGTATCATACAGCCTTAACACTTATCAAAGTCGAGTGTCGAACTTCTGAATTGCTTAATAGTGTTTAAACACTGTGTTCAATTTAAATCATCGGAGTTTCTTAAGTTATTAAACACCGAGTGTCTCCCATTATAACAAACAGGCTTATATTTTCCAAAAAAATATAATTTAAGACAAAAGTTATCGTTAAGCACTAGACATTTGGAAATTGTTTGTGGTGGATTAACACTAAACAGTAGATCGTTAATATCTTTAGAAGCCACTAGCTAAAGGCGAAACAGTGATATATTTCAGTACAATATTTTCAATACAATGATCAATGCTAAATCTTTGAAGACTTTAGTCATTGATTGTCCGTGATGTAAACATTCAGAGGATATAAATACACTGAGCGAACATAAAAATTACTTTATTTATTTGGCTGGATCTTTAACTTGGGTTTTATTTCAAATAGTCTGAAAGATAAACAAATATTTAGATATCTAACATTTATCGCCTTCAAAAATACAATATAACAAATAAACCCAGGAAAACCTTTTATTAAAAGTTAAAACATTATATGAAAATGAATCTTACACTTTTCCATTGTTTACTTGTTCTCACTAAATCATCTTTTAATGAACCATAGTATTCTGGAAATAATTCAATTAACCGACTAAGGTCTTTCCAGCTAGAATCAGGTAACCAATCAGGTAATGGATTAGGGTCTTTCGTTTTCTCAATGGAAACATTTCCTTTAATAAAGAAATCCATTTCCTCCGTAGTTAAATTCCCCAAATTAATTTCTAACTTGCTGGTTATTTGAAAACTGAATAGAAGTTTGTGCTTTTCAAAAATACCTATATTGTATTTAACAAAATAAAGCTTTGAGGAAAGTTAGATTTTGATGAACAGGTCATACAAAACTGTTAAACAAAACAAGAATTTAAATAGTTGAATTCATGAGTTGATTAAAGCTAGACCACCATTGAGAACCTGGAAGCACTAAACTACCGTTTCGTCCTAGTACGAGACTCCTCAGCAGTGCGCATTCACGCCGCGAACCCTTAAGCTCTACACCACTGAACCGGCATCTAACGGTGTTAACGTCTAACTCTAATCGATCCGCGTTCTTGCACAACCATTAATCCATTGTCTAAGGAAGACACCTGTCTCTATCGGACACGGATTAGACTCCACTTCCCAATTGTTCAACTTTCCCCTTACTTTGCTTTGAACCAATCTATGACAGATTAAAGATCCAAGATCATATCAGGGGTTTGTAAAGAACTTCGTAGATGACTTGGCCTTTATATTCCATACACAACAACAAATGCGAGTCAAGACAAACAGTGTAGCAGCAGCCTGTGCATCAGTATGCCTCGACATACACAAGGGAAAAATCAAGATTCTCAAATACAACACGGAGAACTCCAACCCAACCACTCTTGATGGCGAAACTCTGGAAGATGTGGAATCTTTCACGTACCCGGGAAGCATCATCGATGAATAAGGAGGATCTGATGCAGACGTAAAGGCGAGGATTAGCAAAGCAAGGGCCGCATTCCTACAATTGAAGAACATATGGAACTCAAAACAGTTGTCTATCAACCAACATCAAATTCAGAATCTTCAATACGAACGTGAAGACAGTTCTAATGTACGGAGCTGAAACTTGCAGAACTACTACAACCATCATCAAAAAGGTACAAGTATTTATAAACCATTGTCTACGTAAGATACTGATTGTCCGTTGGCCGGATACCATCAGCGATAGCCTACTATGTGGAAGAACAAAACAAACCAGCTTCTAGCTGAAGCGGAAATCACGAAAATTCGTTGGAAGCGGATAGGACATAAAATACGGAAATTGTCAAACTGCATCACGAGGCAAGCACTAACTTGGAATACTGAAGGGAAACGAAAAAGTGGGAGGCCAAAGAACATATTGTGTCGGGAATTGGAAGCATACATGAATAGGATGAATAGCAACTGGAAAGAACTGGAAAGGATTGCCCAGGATGGGGTTGGATGGAGAGTGCTGGTGAGCGGCCTATGCTCTTCCACGAGGAGTAACGAGCGTAAGTTAGTAAGTAATTTAAGCACAAGCGATCTAAACATATTATTTCTAATGCCTGGTAATGTACAATCTACACAACTGTCTAACTAGTTCTGTAAGATTTCATGATTAAACTTTCAAATTATATTAGTATTGTTATATCATTTATACTAACAGCGTCAATGTATAAGATTTTGTTCTATAGAGTATTGACTAGCTAAAAAGCCATAAATCAGTTGTCTGTATTTATGTAACTCAAAAATAGAGCTTTTATTTCTTTAATTGATCTTACATGGAAAACTCATTTGACGTAAGAACAAATATTGAAAATAATCGAGATTACCTTCTTTACTGAAAGTGTAATTAGTATTATACTGAGTCGCTGCTGTTCGTTCTCCAATATGCATGAGGAAATCGACTATTTGACTAAGCGATATAGAAAGGTGTGGTATAACTTGTTTGGGTCCATGTGATAAGCATAATCAACACTTAGAGACCTTGAATGACATAGCTCAAAATCGTTCTCAATAGGCCAACTACATTCAACCCTTGTGTTTCCTTAAATCATAAGTTTCTAAATTACCTTATAAATTTTCTCATTTCAGTAATTTTAATTTTCTTAAATTCGGTATATTTGATCCCTAACTTTTACTGTGTCCATTTATATTGTTATTACTTCTACTACTTTGGGATTCGTTCTGACAATTCCATCATAATGTCCTAATGGGATGTGGTAACATGAACCGGTGTACGCATGTTCCATGTTCGACACCACGTATAAATGACTGACTAGGTAAATGTTCAATATTAATACAAATTTCACACTTTTTAGTGTTATCAAAGTAATAAAAACAGTTTATGAATGATTTTTTGTTTTACTAAACAATCAATTAGTTTATGTTTATTTTAATTAAATCAACGAGAATTTTATTTAAATTGTAGAATATTTCAATTATCAAGGTAAAGATAGATATTGGTTAGTAGTGGAATCGAGGACACACATTTCATCTTATTTTGGAACGATCCAAATAAAGAAAATCAAGTGTATATTATAATTATCATTTCACTTGATAAGAATAATTTTATAATCTTTAGTATAAAACTTATACTTAAAATGATGAACTTTAAATTTACCTGTACATCCATATGTATATACATTATATGTAAGTTTATTAATAATATTTTGAAGTCGTTTCTTTAAAACTACATCAGGCATACTTTTATGTAAAGATATTTGAAAAACATCAAGATATGCAGTTAATGAATATTGATACATTGAATTAATTGATGACATATCTGATAAAACAAAAAATAAAATAGCTCCACGTTTTGCTGCTGGACGATAACCATCACGTAATATATCAATATCAATTGCAGTTTTAGCACCCATTTCTAATTTTTCTGATACTTCATTTGCTTTTAATTTTGTTTCTTCTAAAGTATTAACTAATTCTACATTATCCAACATATTTCCTGTACTTGTTGCTAATTCACGTAGTAAACTATCTTCTAAGTCTTTCAATAACTTTTTATTTTGACTAGATGATTATTGTAAAAGGGGAATAGAAAACATTCATAAAAATTTCTGTTAGAAATCAAATATTAATACAGTTGAAAAGAAATATATTTTTATGATATAAAGATATTTTTCCTGAAAAAACCTTTAGTGGGGCCCTCTATTTTGTTTTCATTGAGATTGGACGATGTTGTCGACGGGCTTCCCACTTTGGTGGCTCAGGATCTGACTCCAAATTGATTGCATGAATGTTTGTTGTCGAAGTATATATACCCTGACTATTCTCGTATATCTTTATCGACTTAATCCGCGTTGAGTGATCAACGGAATTAAATAAGTCAAATAAAAAAAAGGACTTTAGAATACATATATTTTGTATATGAAGCGAATGGGATAGAGTGAAGCGAAACGATGCGCGGTGGAGAAGGTGGGTAAGCCAACTCCATTTAGTCAAGCGTTAATCAATATTTATAGTCACACAAAAATAAGTTACAGACATGTGATGAATAGGATAAAAAATGTACACACACATATGCATTTATATAAAACAGTCAAGATTGGTAAGCGAATGATTAACAAGATCAAAATATGACTCAAGTAGAATGAATGGACTGGCCTGTCCGAAAACTAGAATAAGGTATATGGGCTTAACATAATAAGCGACACTAAAAACCCTGTTGAAATAACTGAAAGTAGAATGATTCTTTCTAGTCATGAATACTATCACGTTTTAGTGATTGGATAGAATAGTTTCAAACAAACTAATAGCCAGATTATTTTTGAGAAATTGAATTAGGGTTTAGTTATTCGTTTAGTAAATTTAATTTAATTTTCACACAACATAAATTTTTTTCGATAGAGCTATTCCAGAAAAAAATAGTAACTTTCGTTTCAATAGTAAATTAAGGGTTTATTTTATTTTCCAATTTCATACTGACTTATCACATGGTTTGTAATCACTGTCATGTTGGCTAACCCTTATTACTGATCAAGTTAAATGGAATAATCTACGAGATATAAATCAGGTTAAATGACTTGACTCCACTTCGTCTAACGTTAGATGTTTTGAGGTGATTAGAGATTTGACTCTAAACTAGGTTCCTTGATTTATGACACTATTTATCTAGATGTATCAACTATCTTGAAGAAACTAATGCTCCCAGTGGGATACTATTACATATTTAACAGTGTCACAATCAGCAATATAACTAAGAACACCCACTAATACAAATCTTAAGTTCAAGGTTTGTGAGGATTTCTTTCAAAGTTCTAACGTTGTTTAGCATAGCTGTGCGTTTTGTGAACTTTGTAATATAAGGTCAGATTGAGTTGGTCTATTGTATATCCTCTCTCCTGTTCAGTTCAATATTACTGAAATTTCTTCGACTAAATAGTGAGGATTTTCTTAGTAAAGCTGAATATGAGAGCAATTAGAAAGCGTTTCGAATTTGCTTTATTAATAAAAGTGGATATTATAAATGAACCTTCCAGTCTTTGTGAATTTTAACAAGTTCTACAGGTAGGTATGTAGTCTGTTGAATGTATGGTTCATGATGGAAAATTACTAGAAACGAAAGTAAGTAAACTATGCTGCTTTACCCAGTAATACTAAAATTCATATGCAGACCGTCAAGTTATAGTCCTACTTTCAAGATATTTGAAAAGTTTACAACCTTACGCTGTACAATTTACAAAAATGTACAACCACAGACATTGTAGTGGTCGGCAATATGGATTAAAAAGGATGAACATTATTCATATGTCGATTTCTGAAATGCTAACATTTAACTGGCGATCAATCAATATCAATCGTCAGGATCTGTCAAGAAATAAGAGAAGGAAACTTGTTGCTGAGATTTCTATATTGTACCAAAAGTCTAATATTGAATAAAGCCGTCATAATGGTAATATATTTTGAAAAACGTTTTATACTACTTTTATATTGTATAGTAATATGAGTAAAATACCTGTAGCGAATTACTTTGTGGTTATAACGGCAATATGGCAACATAAAGACGGGAATGTATTTCATTTCTTACATTTCAAGCAAAATACCTCTGTAGTCATATTTTTTAACAAGCTTCCTCAGGTATATATTACTGACAAATGTGTCATTATTATCATAGACACTTTCTTATTTATTAAGTTGACACGTGTTTGAAAATCAGTCAACCATTTAAAATGATACCAAATTCTATTGTGTTGTTTCTAGAGTTTAAACAGAAATATCATAATTTATAAATTTTCAAATGAGCCGATAGACAGTAGAATAAAATTAGACATCGCTGGCATAATTGAAACTTTGCCTATTTAGTTGATCGACTCATTATTGAAAAAAAATTATTGGTTTTTTGCTAAACTGCCGGAGCATCATCTCTTCCACATCCCCATACTTTTTAATGAAAGTATTCAGCAAGCTGTTTCTTTCTGTCTTCTGTGAAGGTTTAAGGATGGAGTCTAAATGATAAACATCTGAGAACATACCTTAGACATGTAACTTATAAATCCATGAGTTACGGGAATCGGATGCCTCATTTTTATAAAGTTCATAGGCTAATACAAATTCATAAGTCGAGACACAGAGTTTGTTGCAGAGAACAGAGACTATTATGAATGAATGTTATTTTAAATTAGTATTTGCCCAGAACACTGAACGCTAACCTTGTTTCTTTAATCAAAAATTCACGTTGTTCTTCTAGCTCACATCGTTCTGATTTAACAATTACACTTAGTAATTGATCTTCCAAACCTTTCATAGTGACGGTATAATTAATAACTGTTGCTTTACTAAATACATCTGGTCCGTATTGTGGATTAGACAGTTTTGTATTGAGGTAGAGACGGAAGTTAGGATCGTAGTCTACTTCTTTATCACCCAGAATGACATAAGCACGGTTCTGTAAGAAAAAAAACAATCAATACAATTTACATTCTGTAAGGTTGAAAGGTTAGTATGACAAAAAGAATTGCACAATGAAAACAAAATCATGTTAAATCTTTTCCAATCAATTTGATACAATCTTACTAACTCCGTAAAAAACTATGATATCAAATTAGAAAAGTAATGTAGAAAAACAAAAACTGATCACTTAATCATATGTAAGAATACCAGCACAAATATTACAAACGGATAACATGAATTAAGAGATCAGTGCTCAGTTTAAATCCCCAAGGGGTACAGGCGGATAGTACTAATAAGTTTATTTGTCACCCACGTAATAATAATATAGTATAATATTTACAGCTTATAGTTCTTCGATTTCATCAATTCGTTTAGAACCATTCTTCTTATGCTTACTTCTCCTCTGTATTTTTTTAAAAATTTTGTTAACTTCGTCTGTTTACATTAAGTAAAGTATGACAGTTTTAGCCGATGTTAATCTGTGCCAACTTCTACTTTGATTATCACTGACTAACTGATTATGCACAAAGTAATAATTAACATTAGGAGAGGGACTAGTTTTCACTACATATTCCTGATTTAGTAACTTATTACATAACCCATCCAGAACGGTTATCTACTTCGTGTTCACTTACAATAAATGAATAGGTTTAAACAAAATGGTTCGAACAGAGACAACTAATTAAAATAACCCATTATGTCATTGAATAAAAATAAAGAGAATTCAGTGAACAGAATTTTCTTTTAGACAAAATCATTTACTTAAGCTGTACATTCGTATCTGTGTTTTCGTTTTTCTTCATATCTGTCAAGCGGACAATTATCTTTATAATCCTGACCCGTAAATTATTTCCATCCTTCCATTCTTCTCTAACCCTCTGATTATTACGTAACCTCGTCTGACAACTGGAGTCTCAAATCACTCTATGGTGTAATCTTTTATATTCTTATATAGACATACATTTACCACACCACTATAGATACGAATGTACAGCTTAAGTAAATGATTTTGTCGAAAAGAACCTACAAATTTTATAATACTTACTTACGCCTGTTACTCCTAATGGAGCATAGGCCGCAGACCAGCATTCTCCAACCCATTCTGTCATGGGCCTTCTTTTCTAGTTCCATCCAATTCTTGTTCATTTTTCTCATGTCTATTTCCATTTCCCGGCGTAATGTGTTCTTTGGTCTTCCTCTTTTCCTTTGGCCTTGAGGATTCCATGTGAGGGCTTGTCTTGTGACGCAGCTGGGTGCTTTCCTCAATGTGTGTCCTATCCACTTCCAGCGCTTCTTCCTGATTTCTTCCTCCGCTGGGATCTGGTTTGTTCTCTTCAACAGTAGGTTGTTGCTAATAGTGTCTGTCCAACGGATCCGAAGTATTTTGCGTAGACAGTTGTTAATAAACACCTGTATTTTCTGGATGATGGCTTTTGTAGTTCTCCAGGTTTCTGCCCCATACAGTAGAACTGTCTTGACATTTGTATTGAAAATCCTGACCTGGTGTTGGCTGACAGTTGCTTTGAGTTCCCGATGTTCCTCAGTTCTAAATATGCTGCTCTTGCTTTGCCGATCCGCGCCTTCACATTTGCATCAGATCCATCGTGTTCATCAATGATGCTGCCCAAATATGTAAAGGATTCTACATCTTCCAAATCTTCTCCGTCAATTGTTACTGGATTGGTGCATGCTGTGTTGTATCGGAGAATATTGCTTTTCCGTTTGTGTATATTGAGACCTACTGCTGCTGAGGCTGCTGCTACACTAGTCGTCTTCTGCATTTTGTTGTTGCGTTTGACCCTTCTATCCCAAACGCAACAACAAAATGCAGGAGAAGACTACCTGGAGTTCCTCTGGGGGCTACTGCCGATCCCAAGCCCGGATAAAGGAGGAGGGTTGGGGATGGGGTTAGCGACCTCATTCCGTAGAAAACTAACTCGCTAAAAAGACGCTAACCAGAAAAAATTATTTAATTTTAAAATACTATTTATTTAAAGAGAGAGGACTTTTGTAGAATAAATAGATACATTGTAAGAGTGAAATCTGTGATTTCTTTCTCCTCTTAATTTGATAACTGAATGCATAAAACGGTTTTTTAATTAGATAAAGAAAAATCTTCATAACGTTTCTAAGTGAGAAGGGCGTGTAGCCACCGGAAACTAATTTCGACTGAGCGGATCCGTTCAACATGTAATCGAAATGAATGACTTGTTATCCAAGTCTTTTTATAGAATAGCGTATTTTTCTTGTGTCTTAGCGATATGTAGTTTTTTGGTACGTAAATAAATACTATTGAACTTCATGCTTATTTTAAGGAGAGAAAATAAATATTTACTTACTTGGTCACCTTTTATATTTTTCTCTAATACATTATTAATAACTGGATCAATATATTCATCGACATCTTTAAATAAAAATGGAATACCATAACGTATTGCTAGTTCAAGTTGTTTAAGAAAGTCTGAGTCATTAAACGTAGAAATTTTTAGGTTATTTGCCTCTTCTTTGTGACATATCCAATGAAGTGCTTGTTCTTGTGGATCAATACATAAAGGAAATCTGGAGGATTGTACTGTTAATATCCCATTCTGTATACTAAGTTCATCTGGTGGTAGACCTTCCGAATTCCATCTTGATACTTCTACATCATTTGTCAGAATATCTTCCAATCGAAACTGATCACTTAGTGGAATTTGTCTTTCTCGTAACCATGTTTGCCAATCTTCGTATATCATACGTGTACGAAATTCGGATGAAAATGCACCAACATAACTAAGAAATGCTGCACTGATTAAACAATCACCCAATAATTTGACACGTTTTATTTTCAATCCATCTAAATCCTTAAGCCATCGAATTTCTTCTGAACTTAAACCAGAAATTAATTTATCTGCAGCAATCAAACGACGCTCCATGATATCTGTCTCTTCTTGTAATTTAAGTCTTTCACTCATTGCTTCTTCATAGCGACGATTAAGACTGATTAGCTCAGATTCCAGATTAGACAATTCTGTATTGATTCGAGTTAAATCTCTCTTAGCCTGAGAGATAAGGAGAAAATTTATGGAAATTTAAACAGTTAGTTATAAATTAAACGGTGTTTAGTGAATGCTGAAATAACCTGATATAAGGTATTATTACAAATTATGCAATACGCCACTTCCCAGTAGTATCGTTCCAAAGTATATCTTGTGTTCTTGATGATCACATAAGTCTTCAAAGACTAACAGTGTGTAACATCATTTAATATCGTTTGCTTCCGTTTGTTGTCATTTTGAATACCAGATTGTTTGTGTATTTATATCGTCTCTTTGTTAATTGTTGTTGTTTGTATACAATTATAAATACAAGTGCATTATATTTGGTTAATAAACCATTTATATGTTTTTTCTGTTCCGATTGTCTATCATATTTTGAAATTAGCTAAGTGAACTATCAACGTTAAACTTGTGAACGATTATATCCACATTCCTATTGAGATAGTGATGTACTTACAAGCTAGATGTAATTTATGAACAGCATGAGTGGATAGGACATACACTATGGAAATCACCAAAATGCATCACGAGGCAAGCGCTAACTTGGAACCCTGAAGGGAAACGAAAACGTGGAAGGCCAGAGAACATACTGCATCGGGAATTGGAAGCAGACATGAAAAGAATGAATAACAACTGGAAAGAGGTGGAAAGGGTTGCCCAGGACTGGTTGGTGGCCTATACTCCTCCATGAGGGGTAACACATGTAAGTAAGTAACGAATTGTTTTAATTCAAACAATTAATACATTAAAATATATTACTCACTTGCATAAAAGTTTTTTCTAATTTTGCAACTTTATCTCGTTTTGGTTTGATATCACGTGCAACTTCACTGTAGCCAAGTACAGCAACAACAAATTTTAATAAACCAGTACCAGCTTTGCTGACACTTTTCATTTCATCCATTGTAATTTTTGACTTATCTAAATAATCTATCAACATAATGAAAAAAAAGGTAAAACAATATAACATATAAAGGTATAATCAAGTGAAAATTATTATTAGTTATAGTGAAAACTAGTAAAGTAAATAAAGGCTGGTCATCTTTTAAATTTTCAAAGTATTCATGGTTTGAATAAACATTAAATTGTTATTAACATATATTAACGTGTAATTGTAGTTTCAGAGTTTATTAGTACTGATCGATTGAAATACTCTTTTTGTAACATGTTTATGGGATAAATTTTAATGCATACTTACTGACTTATTTACGCCTGTTACTCCTCATGGAGGAGGATTGACCATCCAACAAGGTATAAGCTAACCAACTCTGTCTTAGGCTCTCCTTCCAGTTGTTTTCAAGTATCACTGAATTCTTTGGTGTTAGATATCTACCTTTGAATCTCGGTGTAATGTATTTGTTGATTTAGCTATTTACCTTTATCGTTTAGGATTTCAAGTTAGCGCTCGCATCGTGATGCAGTTTGATGATTTCCACGATGTCCAACCCACTTCCGGCATCTTTTCCTAACTTCTTCAGCTGGGAGTTGGTTTGTTCTCTCCTATGTTACGCTGTTCCTGATGGTATCCGGCAAATGGAAATTCAGTATCTTGCGTAGACCCGCGCTTTTTCCAAAATGGTTGTAGTTGTTCCCCATGTTTCAGCTCCGTACAATAGAACAGCTAGGTACAATAGAATCGTCTTGAAGTTTGCATTGAAATTTCTAACTCTGATACTTACTAACATTTGCTTTGAGTTCCGTATGTCCTTGTTTTACCAAACCATCCATTTACACCTGCATTGGATCCCCACGTTCATCGATGATGACATGGCTATGACTACAAGGAAATCCACGGTTTATCATGGGGTCGAGGGCATAATATATTACCATAGTTACAGATGTTAACACTTATTTGATTGGTATGCGACCGACAAACTATACGATCGAAATTAATAAACTAATCAGTCACCAATGCATGTCGTCTGTTAATCACAACGATTCACCATAGTGGTGAACTTAATTTGAAGACAACCGGTCTGATAAAGATTTATAATGTGATCTAAAAATACACGTCACATGAATATAGTAATCTTTGAAATAAAGATGTCGGATCACCTTTATAAGCTTTTGGAAATCATATAACGAGGAGTTTTAAATCTTTAGCCTTTATAGTAATCTTTTTATAGATGTTAGACTAAAGTGTTTATCAAAATCTTCAGCACCATCAACCTAAGCAGAAAAAATAACGAGTTTTGAATAAACTATTGTCAACAGTAGTTAGTAGTATAAATGAAAACAGTTCATTATTACCTTTCACAGTCGATGATTGTTTTGAAGTTATATTGTCAACATCCATAGTTTGTAAAGACTGTAGAAAATTTGTATCTGACATCATCCCTTTAGCTGTTTTCCAACTAATCTCTTTATAACCTTTGAACACGCATATACACTCTGAAACTACTTGTACAGCTTTCGGTGGTTTGGCAAATGATCTAATTTCAGTGACATCTGATTTATCTAAATCATCCAAAGCTAAACGAGCTTGTTCCAAAACTGGTAGAGCTTCAGCTAAGGCAGTTTCAGCCTCCGTCTAAGCATATAAAATCACAACACAATCAAAAATCAGCAATAATAAGAAAATCGGTTTATCTAATATCTGTATTATTTTCTTGAATGATTAAAAAGAAAAAATTTAAATCTTCATTAAATTCAAAATAAAAGTCCTGAAGTTCTGGTGAGAAGTCATGACCAGTGGAATTCAACTATGCCGGATGTGAGACAGTTATTTACCCCGTGAAATAGATGAAGGTTGCGCAGGATAATGAATTGACTGAAGATAGATATTAACACTTGGATACCAGCTCAGTGGTCTATAGGTCAAGCGTTTACATGCAGGACTAAGAGCCCAGGGTTCAATTACCGAGTGCGAGGTCGTAGTTGCGTAATAACGGAGATTTCTTTACCAGTGTTCTCAGGTTTGTAATGGTGGTCTAGCTAAGATCAATCCGTGATTTAAACTATGAGGATTCTGATTAATCGTACTAGACCAAAAATACAAGTAGTGTACTAAGGAATCGAAGGACGACCTGTTATTCACAAAGAGTGGTAGATAAGCCATTGATGATTCGATTATGAAATATTATTTAAAATAGGAGATAGTTTCTGGAATAAACAGATACCTGGTCACTTGTTTTATCCTGTTTTTAATCCCTTAGTGGTATCCAAAAGCGATCTCATGTTAGATCCATTTAAATGCGTTTCTGAATTAACTGTAGTTTGGAATGTTTACCTTTAGATCCTAATTCATTGTTCTAAAGTTTATGAGTCTGTAAAGTTCTATAATAGAATGAAGTTATCCACTGGTTTTTGATTTCCAATGATTGTTTAACCAATATTAGTTTAATTATTTAAAAACTAACTGACAATCAAGTGAATTTTTACTCACAATCCTTTTATGGTATTTCGATACTTTTTTACGTTGATGATTAAAAGTTTCGATATTCAAGTTATTTTTAATTCTCATTTTAGTTTTGATTATTATTGCCATAATAGTAACTTTCTTTGATGAAGATTTTTTAAAATTTAGTTTTAGATAACGAATAGATTTACTGTTGGTAGGGTAAGGAGATATTATGAATTGGTTATATGACGTTCATTTTCAACTCATCAATTATCAACTATAAATTTGTTTATGTATTTTCACAACAATTTCATTAATGGTCTATAAATAAATAGGATATATATCAAAACTTTAAGTTTTTAAACACCGAAGTTCCATTTGTTTAAATAATATATTTTAGTTTGGATGAAGTATTGAATGATATTAACACGTTAAACTGATAGATAGGTAGAAATTGTGGACTGATAGTTTCTTTTAGAATATCTGACACCTTTAGAATATAATGTGGAATGGTTTTCAAAATAATTAACTTCTCAAACACTGAAGACAGTATGAAACTAAGAGTCAAATGGTGGAGATATATAGGTAAGGATAAACCTACATGAATGAACAAACAAACGTTTATTTTCGCTTCCAATATCACATATTCAGATGTACAAACATATGATATTTGAATTCTAACTTGAAAAGTACTTGGTGTTAGAAGTCAGAGTTTAAACTCAAGAAATGCTTTCTATCCAGCTTAAAAAATTGTCATTTGGTAAATGCTATGAAAGTGTTGACGAGGTATTATACATAAACTATTCCCTTAAACAAAGTCATCACACACATGTTTTTGACAGTCCCAATTCTAAGATATATATTCTCCTAGACCGCAAAAAATCTTGTTCTGTGTTCTATGATGGTGTGGTCGTGAAAGTCAAGTATGATTAGCCGTTGAGTACGGGCAAACAATCAAAGCGTACGGACTATTAAATATGTGGTTTCCCTTCCTACCATCGATTTCTCCTCTAGACTGATTGTGTGTGGTTGTATCGAATAAATTATTATCTAGCGTTAATCTGGTTTTCTATTTTGGGTTATGAATCCTGGTTCTGATATAAAGTGATTAGTTTTATCAACGTATTATTGTAATGTACGTGAAACAAAAGGAAATATTGTAAACCGTCCGTTATATCATCTATATTATAACTTTTCGTTTATTCATAATCTTTTCCCCCTCCACAACTGTGTTGATTAGATGTAGTAAAGTCCATCAGTTAATAAATTGGACTTGAGACTTACTACTTTCAATGTATCGAAATCATCTACTGGTACTCAATTATTCAAACAAAAAAACTTAATGATTAAATAATTAACTAATTAATTCAATAAAAAAGAGATAAATAAAAATGAACGGTGAGACTATAATTCATGGACGACCTTTAAGCGACTCTAGAAAGACCTTGAGAATGTCCACTCATATACTCCAGCTAAATGAGGATTATAAACCAGTGTGTGGAATTAGGATTAATATCTGCAGTTGATAGTTAGGGTTAAGAATTAGATTTAAGATTTTCATTACGAACTGACATCAGCTATAGTGACAAAATTCTATTTGAATAAATGAATGAAATAATTTCGCGCCAAAATTTAAAACCTGTTATTGTAAATCTGATTGATCCGTCTATAAAAATTACAGTCTCGCCAAATGAACAAATAAAAAAAGTATATTGATTATCATCATCATCATCAATAAAATCAATAAATCATACTTTTTCTTGTTCAATTTCAACAGATTGAATTTGAATTTCTTTACTTTTTAAAACTGCTAGTTCTTTTTTCTCTGTAGCCAATTGACTACTATTAGTAATTTCATTTAATAAATTTTCACATGCTTGTGTTTTTTCAGTAACAGCTATACGTTGTACTGCTAATTTAGCATTTAACTCTTCTAATTGTATAGAAGCTTCAGCTAATTTTTGTAAACCACTTTGTAAACGAATAATTTGCTTTTCATTATCATTATCTTTTTCTGTAATTAATCTTCAGATCAATAAGGGAAATCATATATACAGAGTTATTTGGTAAAGTAGAAAAACCATATAGTAAATCATTAATTTGCAAAATATTAATCCATCATGTCAAACCGGACTGTTCTTGTTGCAAATATCAATCCATTGTCTCACATTTCATTGTTCATGCGTTTTCTTACAAATTGCATTCTGTTACTGCTCTTTCTTTCTTGATCTTTCCCCATCTTCTGCTGCTAGACATTAAGTTTTTAACTCACGTCATATACTACTTATATCAATATAAGTAGCACGCACCACAATATCAACCATAGGTTTATACTATTAACTGCATAAATTTGAAATTCAGGAAGAATTAGGCAGTTTACGTTACTAGATTACTTCAGGTGAAAAACCGCTAAAGATCCTGAAACATTCAAATCGTTTTACTTCAACTTTAAAATTCTTTAATAGATAACTTCAAGTGGAATAGGAAACAAAATCTATAGTTATTGTAAAGTGCATGAGTTACTGAAAAAGAACCTGAATATCGCAAAATTTTAACTTTAATTGCTTCATACTATTAACTGAGTGGTTAGTTGAAAATTATTTACAAAGTTAGCTTTAAGCCGTTTTTTTCTAATAAGGGTTGACTTTTTATTATTCACTAAGAATATTTTACCATTTAAAGCAAAATATTGTTAGTTATACTTAGCTAGAAAAAAACGATATCTATATGATTATCTCAAAAGTTATATCCAACAGTAACATTAAATGGTAACAAAAAGTATGTTTGAAGTATCAAAATGTTACTAAAATTTTCATGAGAATCCACAACAACAGATTTTGCGTCAGTGATCTCATCAACTATCTGATCTCGAATATACCTTATAGTTTAATCAGTGCATTTAGTCACTGCTCTTCAATAAAAGCAATAAATTCATTCATACATTCTAAACCGAGCCATCTATGAACTAAGCAGTCGATCAATCCAAGAATGGGTATGAAAGTGCATCACTGACAGCAGTCTTAAGTAATACACTTTACTGAATGGCTGTCATACCAGCCGCTGAACCTATAGGTCTTAAGATTGTTGCAATGTTGCAATGAACATAGTTAATTAGTTAAAAAACCAAGATTACCAATTGTTTAGTGTCCACATATCTTTATTAGATCTTCAGTTAATATCAGTTTATAATGAGATATTATGTTTAAGCTTGTATCTGTAATCAGTAGAGTGATTTAACTGGTGTGTTACATGAGTGAAATTTATTGAAAATGATAGTATTGATTAAAATCTACTTTTACTACAGTTGTAACTGTGTGAATATTCTGGCTTGTTAATTTCCATCCACTTGAGTGGCTAATTAGTACTGCTTTATTTCATGGAAAACAATATGGATAGTACTAAGCTAAAAGCGGAAAAGAAATCGTAAAACTCGAGGAACTATTTATAGTAGAGTCAGTTGGTATTCTGTTTCTGTGTTTGTCAAACAATTGGTGTATGTTACTTTTAGATGATTCCTAATTTTAAGCTTTCATTTAATTCATTAACTGTTTTAATACGTTTTCGACATATAAACTACAAATGAGTAGTTATAAACTCGTTAATCAGTCTTGTGTTACATTTCCTTTAGTCGGGTAAATCCTATACAGTACCTATACAGTATCTGCGCAGTAGGTGCAACAGTGGAGTTACTCTTGTTGACTAATATTGATGTTTAATACTAAAAATTAAGATCGAACCAATTTGATATATTCGATTAAACATATTATTGGCATTAAATGACTGAATGAAACTGGAATGCAACTCCAGATGTAAGCTTTCTGCCAAATGGAATACACCAGTGAGGTATATCTGAGACGTCAAAGAAAGTGGTTGTCTCTCGGATACACGATTCGCTTTCATTCAGAGTCACATAAACATCAACGAAATGTTTTAAATACTCGGTTATAGGTTTTCATATAAAAACAGTGAGTTAATACAAAATTGAATCTTAAGTAAGCAAAGATCTATAAATCAGAAGCTGGTATCAAAATTATGAAATTAACTATCTTTGAAACACAAGTACAATTTATAAGAATAATTTACCTCTTATATGTATGAATAAAGTCTAAATAATGTTTTGGTGTGACATGATTTACTCTTCTTAAAGTTTGTGCAAATTCTTCCGTATAACCATGTATACTTTGATGTGTTGCCACAAAATAATCAATAACAGAATCACGATATTGTTGAGGTACAAGATTAAATTGTTCCGGTATAAGTACATTGACTACAGCATACAGAGCTTGTTCAGGCCATGGGAAAAACCAATCAATAGTAGTATTATTAACAATACCAGGAAAATTACGACAACGTGTCCGTAGTGTATCACCAACCTAAAGAATGTTATGTAAAATGAATATTTTTTTACTTCACTTCTGAACTTTGACAAATGTCTGTGAAAATTTACCTGAATCAATTTAAGCTCAAAATAAAGCCAGAACTGACTTCATGCTTTTTCAACAGTGGTGACTTGTAACCGTACATTTTTCCTTATTCATTATAGTCCTTCTATGTTGACTCCATTGAATGACGAATGAAGATGTTAGTGAGATATAGATCGTTATTGACTTTGTCTATATACTGTCGACTTAACATGTTTAAAGGCATAGAATATCAAAAGTCGAAATACAAGTGTTTGAGATACGTAAATTTCAGAGAATTGTAAATGGGAAGACAAACTGAAAGAGCGAATAAGCATACTTAGCACTGAGACACAGTCGTTTAGTAGGTATATTTATAGTTAATATAGTCAATGCATAAAAAAGCAATAGATAGGCGTACTCACAGACGGAGGCTATCTAATAACAAGTGATATTATAATTAAACGGACACTAATAGTAGAAGTTTATGTTTAGGTCATAATTACTTACGTGAAACAGAATTATCGGTCTAGGACTGTGTAGAATAATAAGTTTTTGATTGAGATCATGAACTGATTGATGTCAGACCACCATTGAAAACCTGAAAGCACTGGCCGTGACCAGTGGAGCTAATCTGTGTCGGTTAGAGACAGGTACCTATCTAGAGGTTAAGCATTCGCGCGCAAGTATGAAGGCCCTGGTTTCGAATCCCGCAAGCAGGATCGTGGATGCTCACTGCTGAAGAGTCACACAACAGGATGAAACAGAATTATTAGGAAGGCAAAGATGACTCAATAATCACATTCTGTCTGATTTAATATTATTTGTCTAGAAGCTAGAATAATTTGCGTAGAGTGTAATAGGAATTGCTACAATAATTTAACAGCACAAGTTGATACAGTTTTATATTTCACGAAAAAGATGAAACTTACTAAGAGAATAAATAAGAAAAGATGTTTGAGAAAGGATGACGAGTTCTTGATCAACAAGTGGTTAGTGTAATATCCATAAGTTATGGAAGGTTTATGAGATTAGTAAATGATAAATAGCTTCAAATTAATTCAATCGATGTGTTTTTTTAACTAATTAATACTGAATAGAATCTAATGCATAATTGTATTTTATTTATTCTTATACATATTATTTAAATAACGACGTTTAATAGCATGATTTATTTGAACTTTCACACTTTTGTGAATCTCACTAAATAAAGTGACGGACGAGCCCCTGTGTAGTTTATGAGTAAACATCGCACTAAACAGTAGACTTTTACACAAAGATTTCAAATTCTGAAGTTGTGGTTCAAATGTATACATATTTTAATGTTAGGTAGTTAGACGTAATCAGTAGGAAATTACGATGTATTTTTCCTGTAATGTGACACGAATCATCTGTAGTCTTACAGGATTAACTGCTTCTTTTGAGATTCGTACCCGCCTCGATAAGGATTAGATAACATGAAATTATTAATCATTCAATGATTAATTAATAGAAAAATTTATATATTATGATTTTCATAGAACGGAGTGTAAGGTGCACTTTTAACAAACAATCAGATTAATTTTTATTATCTTATTATAATCATGTACTAACCTTGATAATAACTTATGTGATAAACAGTATAAATAAAGTTATTACTTACAGGACTCATACATAGAACAATATGCAAATTCGATGCTGCTTTTTGTATGAAATATTGCCAAATAGATTCACGAGTTGGAGGATATCCAATCGCAACAGCTTCATCACGTAATTGACCTGTTATTGACTCTCGTTCATCATCACCAAATAAAGCAGGAACTGAACCTGTTGTCAGCATATTGTTGATCAATTCAAGAAAACCTTCACAAAATGAAAAAGAAAGTATTCTTATTTACTGATCAACAGCTAGTGCACATATTGCATAGCACTTTGTCTTTTAGCTGTCAACGCTAACTAAACATATCTTATGTATAAATGTAAAGCACTTAATGGAAGTTTCAGAATAACGTTGGTTTAAGAAATATATATAAGATACCCCTTCCTCATGTTCGTTCTATCACACTGTATAAAAGTGTTTCAGACGGGTTTCACCTATGAATAAAGCATGTCAGTCCTTTCATATGAATGTTTCCTGATAACTATGAAGAACAGGCCGAATTTAAGAACTCTAATTAAAAAAGAAAGAGGTATTTCTCCATGCTGAGTTAATTTTATTGTTTCAATCTTTTATTACCCGTCAAGACTACTATTTTCGCTTTTATTTAATTAGTTTCAGTTAAAGTATTCGCCAAGAGTATCGTTTTTTTGAAAGTAACTTCTGGTCGGTACTTTTGAGTACGTTGGTTCGTTCTGCATTTGTTTGTACATTTAGTTCTAACAATTCACAGATTTTCACTTTTTTCGGTCATCAGTTTCTCTTGTCTCTGGGTATTGTTTGTGTCTAGTTTTTTTCGTGAAAACTCTGTATTGATGACTAGGCAGTGCGAAAAAGCAATTGCTAACGCCCAGGTTGTCGACACCCTTCAGAAACTGGTATGCAGTGCGATGAGTGCAATTGATGGTGCCACGTAGTTTGCACGAATCTAACGCCTGCTGCTTTCACACAGCTTAGTAAAAATGGTTGGGTATGGTTGTGTCAGCAGTGCTGCTCGGACGCAAATAGCTTGCTATCCGAAGCCAGTGAAATGGTGAATGCTGCTAAAAGGAGTGTAAGTAAGTGTAATTGTGACACATGAAATGGTACTCGCTCGGTGCATAAACAAATCGGTATGAAGTTGCCTTAAATAAGCTCGGAGTCGACTGACTTACGTGGGCGAATGGAAGAACAATGGCCTATAAAGAGGTCTGTTAGAAATAAAAGCTGAAGAAAGGAAGTTCCTTCTATATTTCGCCCTCCAAACGGCAGCGAGCAGGGAACACCTAGAAAACCTAGTCGCAAGGTCAGGTCTGTTTCTGTCAGGAAGTACAACAACCTGATTACCCAAGTGACCGACAATCATCCAGAATCTCATAGCGTGTGAAACGTGACTAATTGCTACTACAATGAATGTTTATGGATGAGTAGTGATCAAGAATAAGAAACGACCTAATGTTGCTAAAGAAGAGTTGGTCCCCAAAAGAGCAGCTGATAAATTAAAGACTGATCATACTAACAGGTCAGTTGTATTCCATCGAGTCAAGGCTCAGAACTCGTTTCAGACATGAAATTGAGTTGATAGAAGAGCTACTAAACCAACCAATGCTTCAGAATATCTCTGGAGTCACTTTGCTATAGGTTTATAGACTAGTTAGCCAAAAGGGCTTGGAACAAAATCAGACCAGGCTGTTTAAAATAGTATAGTACAGAATGGACATAAACTAAAGGGGTCAGGAGTTTTTGTCCATAAACACTTGTCGTTCGCGAACCATATAGGAAGACGAGGATCATAAGAAGAACTAAAACTAGGGTTAGATGCTGGCGGGGACCTTAGAATTGTAAACTTGTGAGTGGTGAGGCTTCGGCGGAGATAGACTCAACGAAGCCGGATGTAATCGTAGTCACAGAAACTTGGTTGACGCAGTCCATAGACAGTGTGGAACTTGATTTTGAAGGTTTAGCATTAGTGAGAACCGACAGAATCCAGAAGCGTAAAGAAGGAGTAGCTCTATTCATTAGAAATGCTATCCAATTTACCGTTATTGGTAACATATCCCATAAAAGTGGGACGTGTGGATTAGTTAGTTGCCGCTTGTAATGCAAATGACATGAGCTGTTGATTGATATGGTCTATCGCAGTCCAAGCTGTGAGGTAAACGAAGTCTTGCTAGATGGTCTCAATACTTGGTCACAAATTGGTTGATGTTTAGTACTAGGAGACTTTAATGCACCTACGGTAGACTGGAAAAATCTGAGAACTGAATTGTCAGAAAATTCCTCCGAGCAGGAACTAGTTGATGCGGTTATCACATGTGCCCTAGTGTAAAATTTGAAAGAAGCAGCTAGGTAAGACCCGAACTCAGCATCATCCTAACTCAATCTCATATTGACCCGTCATGAGGATGATGTCACAAACTTCCATTATATGCCACCCTTAGGTAAAAGTGACCATGCAGTTATAGTCTTTTATTTCCATATAGTTGTCAATGACGAGGATGTGTCAGCACAGCCCAGACCTAACGTCTGGAAAGCAAATATGAAATGTATTATACACTTAACATCCTTAGTAGATTGGTCAATAGAACTGGGGTCTTCCATAGAAACGGCTTGGGATGGATGCAGAAATTTTTACTGTATCTAATCATAGAAATGACACTTAGAGTCATGACCTTTATGTGTATACTTGCTTTTTTGCCTTTGTTGTTCTGTTATCTGGGCTACTGCAGATTAAGGTCTCTTAGCGAATTTGTCCAGGGAGGTTGGATTCTATATTCATTATTAGTGATTGGTGATACAGCTCCGAGTTTATACAAAACGTAATTATGAGCTATCAAGTTAAATGTTTTTTTTTACACTTGTGTTTTGTCGTTGTCCAGTAATCGATTACTGATCTAAACTATCCAAAAACCTTATTAGTGAGTTTCAAGTGCACTGATAGCCTTGAATGATTCTCATATGGCCATGAGAAACCCAAAGACGATGACTGCTTCAAAATTTAAAGAAATCGAGTGCAAGTAAAATTCCGTACAAACGGTTTCGTATAATATAGGTCGTCTATCAGAAAATGATGTTGTTTTGTGGATCGAAGTAATCATAAATATACGAACTTCAGTAGTACATGTTCGTTTTCGTGATTACGAACCAAATATTTTGTACGAAGAAGCCACTTAGAAATCGCTTTTGCAGACTGATGCATTTAGGAAATGTAAGACGTGCTTGATTAGTGGAAGACAGACGTAACCTTATGAATTATACGTAATGAAATAATTTTACATTTTTAATTCAAAACTTTCCACTTTATATACGTGTGAATATACGCCTAGTTATTAATATCCAGTTCTTGATTAAATGCTCCGACAATTGTCTATGATCACATTTTTTAGGGAACTTAAAGTTATAATATTCACCTTAAGTGATTGAACTAGAAGAATTTAGTGGTAGGTAAATTAACACTTATTCCAAAGCAGAACAGAATACCCTCTATATTGTTTTCCCCAATTTTTTTTAAAAAGTATCTGTAAAAATATTCCATATATTTTATTGAAAGATACTTACCTTCTTCAACAACATGTTGATCTGTAAACATAAAAACTGTAGATTTGTTTTCAATACCGAGTCGTAAATAAAGTGTTTTTAGTTCTTCACGAAATTCACGTTCACCATAACCTCGACATAGTTGAATTTCAAATAGTGTACTATTAGCGGCATAAGTTGCTAGTCGAGTAAGACTTTGTTTACCAGAACCTCCAACACCGACTAAAAGTGCATGTCCATTTTCCATACGTAGTACACGTTCAATGCGTGTGAAATGTTCAATTGCGTCATTAAACAGAATCATTTGTAATTGACCAATACTTTCATTATAATTTTCTAAGATCTATTTCAAAGTTTTGTAGTATGTGATTATTAGAAATTATGTGGGTATATGAATTATAATGTAGCTAAAGTAAAACTTTGTTCTATATTTTGAAAGATTCTGCTACTAATGAAAATTCTCAGACTATCCTGTGAACTAAAACGTGATATCTGCTCTTTGTAAACACAACTTCACAGTGAATGATTTTGAAGAATGTACACGTGTATAAACAGATAAAACAGCCCATCTTATGTAAATAGCGAAGACGAGAACATTAAATTTAATGAGATCTGGTAACGTTGTGCTCCATCAAGAAATGATTTAGATTTGAAATGTAAACCAATAGATCCCAGATGAGTAATCTGAGGATAATTCATTAGCCTCTGACCGGATCATAGCTAAGCACTGCGGGGGGGGGGCTATGAATAGGAATAAACAACTGTCAACTACTCTCTGATTTCCAGTGGTACACCAGTTGATACCGGTACATGATGTACACAAATTTGAAGCAATGTCTACCAGGTGTTCAAGCAAAACAACTGCTTGTTTATAAACTACCTATTCTGAGAAGTATAATATACTAAATAGTAGCTAACATAGCCCGATTCATTTTATATGAGTCTAGTAAGCTGAAATTCGAACTACTAATCACTCGTAAGATATAATCGCCGTCACTTTTGTTTTTCTTTTTACAGATAAACTTACTTCTTGAGCTATAGTTCGACAATTCTCATAATCTATCATATCTTCATATAAACGAATCTCTGATTCATCCATTGCATTTCGATAATCACCAAATAGTATCGGCATTTTAGTTACATATTCTTTAATTTCTTTACAATTCTCTTGTAATAATTCATCTATATATTTCTATTAAAATAATTAAATAAAAGAGGAGAAAAAATAATAAGCATAATGACCTTATTTTTACAACTCATTTGAGGAAAGTAATTCTCAAAAATGATCAACTTTAGTTTGAAAACAAATTTTAAATAAATATAGAACATTCACTATACAATAATGTATTCGCTGAGAGATTCAGTGATCGGGGAACATCTCTCGCTTAACAGTCTGTCTACTTAACTTCATAGCACTCAAAGGCAACTAACAGATAAGATTAATAAGTTACGTAGTTGTACTTACCCTTAAGCAAACCTCCAGTTTTAAGTTTTCACGATCAGTTCAAAATTATACTTTCCAGTGTTTGTGTGATCTAAGAAACTTTTGGTGTTTATTGAATTTTCATTTAATTTAACAACTGATCAGATATAGTTCACAGTTAATCACACTTAAACATATACACTTTCAAATATTTTGAACTTACTTCAACTAATTGTTTATCATTATGATTTATTAAACGATCCATGACAACACGATAAACTTCATGAAGCCATAAACGAATACATTGTTCTCTACGACAGAACTTGTCAATAGTCATTAAACATAATCCATTAAATATTCGACTATGATCTCGCATATTAAATACATAATGGAATTTTGATGGCGTTGGTGGTAATTGAACACTAACAAATCTATTTAAACAAAAATAAACGAATATAAAGAAGAAGAAGAAAAAAAACTGAACAAAGTACATCGTAATTCAACTAATTTATTTGTGTTAGTTTAAAGATTATGAATTTCTGGACTAATTGGTGACCTACTTATTGTTGTGCATTTTAAAAAATAGTGACAAATAACCTTTATATTTGTTATTAATTATCAATAAGAAATATTTAGAATGTTTAGGAAACATGTGCTCCCCTTGAAATGCGAATATGACCTGCCAAGAAGTGAAGTATTTGACTATTTAAGTAAAAATATTCAACTGACAAGTGAATGTTTTCTGAGAATACCTATGGCTATGAACATTAGTCATTTTGTAATGAACGAAGGCTTGGTAAAAATGAAGCAATTTATAGTATCATGAATAATAAATGAAAACAACAAGTTGAATACACTTTTTACACAGTTTCTTTGAATTATCTTTTACACACTATACCGTTTACTCATTTCTGTGTATATTCTGACTATTTTTTCCTTTCTCCTCTCCTCATTTTGCTCCTCTTTCAGTAAGAGTCTTACTTCCAGTTTCTAATATATACTATATATATCTGACCGTATAAAATGTACACATCACAACCTTAGTGTAGACCCTACTATTCATGTTATTATTAACCGAGTTAATTTTTTGTTACTTCGGTGAACTAGTATACACTTTATAAAATGAATAGTAGAGTAATTTGGCAGTAAACAAAAGTGACCTACTGTGCTACTAAAGAAGAAATAAAGACAATCTAGCCACACTGACATTAGTTGTAGAACACGTAAGTTGTAGTGCTTTTTGCAATATCTGAAACCTTGTCAGTCTTTCAAATTGAATGATGTGTAGTATTTTCATTTCGAAATAATAACATTAAGAAAAATAGTGAAGATCAGGTACTTTTCACCATCTATTTCGTTCTAGTTTGTAGCTACGCAACGTTGATTACATAAGTATCCTTACATGGAATTCGATTGAGGTACACCAGATCTTAAAACAGAAGCTCAATGACCATTATTTCTCAAGTTGACATCAGTTTATAATGAAAATTACGTTTATTTTATGCTAAGTAATCCTAAGAGATTCAATTCAACTAACAGATATGACAGTGAAAGTGATGAATTTCATATAACGAGATTGTCACAGATATAGTGCTTTTTGTATACTCGATGCCTAATTTTCGTAAAATCCTTCATTCAGATTTTAAGTTTGGATTTTACTTTCGACAGTTTAAAACATTTGAAAAACAAACATTGATGAAACAAATTGTCTACTTACTGAAATAACTTCATTGTCATATTTGTGACAAAATTTACAGAATTTTTAATTCCACTATCAAATTCACTCGTATGTCCAGTTAAAATCGAACTATAAATTTTATATAATGTACTTTCTGATGGTGATTGTATATTAATAACAGAAAACAGTGAAATAAATCTAGGATCTACATCTTGTTTTCCACCATCAGGCCTACCCATTGCTGCTAAATAATCAATGGATTGCATACGTTTCCAATTCAATTCTTTACCACGATCATAAACACCTTTACGTTCAATTAATAATTTCAATAAAGCAATAGGTTGTTGTGTTCCATATTGATCAACTTGTGGCATATTCATATCATCGATAAATATGATTAATTGTTTGCCTGAAACTGGTCCATATGTATCTTTACTACGTTTTTCTACATTGGCTTCAAGATTACGTTGTACATCCAATGATGTAGTACGAAATGAAAAGTTAATTGTTAAGATTAGCTATTAAATGAAAATTTTAAAGAAAATATAATAAACAATCAATCTAATAGACGTTTCTACGTAGTACATGGTTGCTCAATAATTTGAATATATTTTTTGGAAATCAAAAAAGTAATCTTTATATCATGAATGTTAAAGTTAAATGAGTAGTTGACAATCTCAGTAACTAAGCAAAAAAACAAGTTGAGTGAGCTATGGAGTATAGCAAAATTACAGTAAAAAGAGGTAAGTTGAACATTGCATAGTCTAGATATAAGTTAAAAGATGGGTTATGTATGGACTGTGTAAATCATAATTTATAACCAAGTGAAAATTCTAGTCGGTAGTTGATAGCTCAACTATGTGGTATATAATGCCTTAAAAGTAAACTCATGATCACTGAAAGTAAGGAATAAAACTTAGAAATGTGTCATGTATAAACTACTGAAAGTTTTGATCGTTAACCGTTTGTTTATATTGTTTGATTCTAATGAAACAAATTAATTATCTCTTTTGGAGTCAATTCTAAAGTTAAGCGTAGAGAAGGAAGTTCACTTGACACAATCACTAAATCTTTTCCTTCCACTAATCATAACTTAAAAGAAGTACATATACAGTAAATTTCAGAAAATGTCATTAGTAAGGCGAAACTAATACATAGATCCAAACTATAAGGTTTCATATAGTCGGTTTAACATCAACTTGAATTATTAAAACTAATACCTAAGAGACTGGAAAGAATATCAATCCAAGACAACGTGTAATATTACCTACAATAATTTTTGACATAGACGATAACTTTTTCAAACTTTGATAAGTCAACTTTGCCTGTATTTGTCATATGATTAGTAGCCCACAAATATTTTCATATTCTTAAGCCTCTAGTTGGAACATCCTAAAGCCAGATAATTGATCACAAGTGCTTCCAAATCATTCAGTTTCAATACTGAAGTAAATGTTTAGGTAAACCACAAAACCAAATTTTAGCCTCAGTATATACACAAATAGGTTACTTTTCACAGATAAATGAGGAACGCACTTCAGGTTGATGAACTGTAAATCTATAAACAGTGAAATATATAGATGAAGAATATTCATATGGAAATATAAACACTGATTCCAACTGTCATGATTTTCTTTTTCGCAACCCTTCTTGACCTTTAGAACTTACGTCTTAAGAAAATGCGATGAAGCATAAATGTTGAGTATGAGTAAATTCTGATGGGATAAGCCCTATAAGTGATTCAATGATTATATATATATATATATATATAATCAGCCAAAATATTTGTACCATAGATAGCTTTGATTATGTTCACCAGTGTTTTAACAATTTACCTTCTGATGTTCGTGAATACCTGCTGGTGTGACCAAGTAAATGCATACTTAAGTCAGTCAGTGAATGATACTAACTGTCGATAACATTAAATTGGGTAGTTGTTTCATCGTACTTTAGAACTCTTCAAGTTTAAAACAATATACATGATTTGATAGTGAATACTAATCTTTGTAAGACGTCACAACAACTTGATCCTAGACAACAGAACTTTGGAATCATGTTGGCTGACAGACATAAAAGTTCTGGACTTTGACCCGAAATAAATATAATGTATGAATTGCTAATTGTTTTGGAAGTTAAGAAAGTGCAGAACCATCTAATCCGTAACATAACGTCAAATTAAAAAAAAGAAAACTGTGACCTTTATCGAGTTTTCAGTGAATATTTTAATGAAATTTGAAATGAATGGGTTGATTGTATGCAGCTAGGCAAATATTTAGTTTGATGTCAATCGGCTATCAACCATCAGGTTTTAAGTTCAAACAACACATTAACTAATTCACTTTGAGCAGTATTTTAGTAGTATTGATCCTCATACAAAAATAGCTGATTACATTTAGTTGTACTTGGTGAACGTGTTGCATCAATTACCAAATTACTATCATAAGCTATATACTGCTATAAATAAAATAAACGTTTAGATCACTAAAAGTGAAAAAGATCATTTACATTTCTATCTTGATCGATATCCCGCAGAAATCTTTGACAAATTGCAGTTTTTGATGTTCCTGTTTCACCAACTAACAATAATGGTCTATGAATATGAACTAATTTTTCTATAAACCAGTTAATTCGAACAGTTTCAATTGTTGGTACTAATATCTCAGAAAATTTAATGGATTTATTATGTATATAAGTAGGAACTAATTGACGCCATGGAATCCAAACATGTTTTTCTACATCGAAATAATAATCAAATAAACTAGGCTCAACACTTGGTATAGTTCCTGCAGCAGCTGGATTATTTAATGTTTCTTCAACAGCTGGTCCAGGTAGACTTGCTAAATATTTTACATAATTATCAAATTTTTCTCGTTCTTCTTCAACTAATGCTCCACCAATACAAAAGTAAATGCTGAATAGAAAAATACTTTCAATCAAAGCATAATCTGTTTGTTCATTGATATTGATTAATAGGCAGTCGAGTAAATAACAAAATTGTATTAATAAATTTAAATCTGTTAGTGGGATGACACGTTTTAAACGTTCCACTTGTTCACCGTCTGCAATGCCCTCAACAATCCTATCTATAATCGGCGGTATATACTTATTGTATAATTCATTCAGTATAGTTCTCTCATATTGAGTTGTACGCTGACTTAACCATTTCTTCCAATAAGGTTCGTAACCTAAATATTTCGGATCAATATATACCATACCACAACGTGATACAGTCGCTGGTGATGCGTATTGTAAATCTCCAACTTCAAACAATAATGCACAATGTGATTGTAATCGAATACGTTCACCATTAGCCAATGTTAACAGACGATTATCATCCATAACTGAATTCATATTTTCAACCCACAATGCGTCAACATCACCATCAAACAGAATATATCTTCTTTCCTGTAGATAGAGGAAAAGTATAAAAATTTATATAGTAACTTGTTTTTATTTTTTAATAAACTATTAAGCTGAATTTTCCTACCGAAACGCTAAAAGATTTCTTAAACTGTTAAATGTAAAGCTTGTTAATTTTCTAGGCACATACTTTTAAAATTTAGGATTTGGATAATGAGCACTAATGATATAATACTTGTTTCGTCTTGTTGTTCAAACGTTGTGTCAGTTGATTTGTTTAAGAGTGAAACAATGTTATCTACCTAAAAGGTAAAACTTGACGACCTCATGTGATTCGGAACATCGGAGAAATATAATCTCATACTGTCACTCTATCTGATAAATTTCTATCTCAAGAGATGATTTTGTAGAAGAAACATTCTGGGGGCTTTTCTTTCTAGAAGACGATTTCAAAGTTCAGTTCTGTCTAGTTATCAAAAGGTAACTCTAGCCTACAGAGCTACAGCGACTATGAGCATGAATTAGGAGTGAGTATCTAGAAGGTAGCAGAAGTGTGATAAATAATTTCGTGATTTGGACGAAATCTGATTTGTTCCTGGTATTTATAATCTTTGATTTCTTGGGGGAAGTTCTAGTAGTGCTGTGGTGTATGCGACTTTTGTCGACAAACATAAGTAGTATGTAACACCAACTGGAAGTGAAATACCTGGCAGTAGAAGGTTGAAAAGACCAAATTGAAGAGGAAGGGAATGTAGACAGATAGTAATAGTAATGAAGGAACGATCAAGTTTGAGACAATTGATGGAAGATTTGTAAATGAAATATTTAATGTATGGTCTTCATATTTCATGGAAGAACTCGATCTTCATCTGAGTCTCGTTTATTACAGTGCTATAACAGCAAATATTCATGAAACTATGCGTTTAGTAAGGGTGATTTCCAATGATTTTCAGCTTTCCTGGTTAGGTCTGCCGCATATTGAAATCTAAGTCTGCGGATTTTCCTTTCTCTGTTCGGTACTGTAGGTAAGAACCGACCATATCAGGACGATAATTACGTCTTCCCTGACAGAAACTACTGACTCTTGAATTCTGAAAGCACTTTAAATAAAGTTATGAGATCTACTTTCTTACACATACCTTACAATGTTTGAACAGAATAAAAATTAATCAAAAACCAGTTTTATAAAAGACTGAATAACAGTCTTTGGTAAATATGTGCAGCGTACAATAATCATGCATTCTTCATAATTATTTAACAGTTACGAACATTGAATGGAATAACCTCGATATTACTATCTTCATCAATCTATAATCGAATTATTTGATAGAAAAAATCAATTTATAATCACTGATTAAGCTTACTTGTTTATCTGTTGGACGATTAATTTCTCGAAATATATTTGATAATAAACCATCTGTCCAATCTCGACTATTAGGATCTAATATACCGTATAATTCAATGACACTTCTATCTTTTGGATTTAATGTATATAATTTTGTCGGTAATCCCATATATGTTTGTGCATCACATAAAGCATTAATAACTACTGTTTTACCACCACCTGTAGGTCCAACTACCATAGTTGTATGACGTGTTTTCATTGTTTCATAAAGTTGTACAACTTTATCCGCTTGAATTGGATTTTCCGTATAGCCTTTTTTATTTAAACACAATTCAACTGCATCATTTAATTCAGGATAACGTACACGTGGACAATTTAATCCAGGGAAAAGATCTTGAATTAAAGCTAAAAATAATGGTGCATCTTCAAAAATGAATTTCGGCAAATTCATATCTCTTAAAGCTCGCATTAATACTACATCTTCTGGTAGTTCTGGTGCATCACGTCTTAAATCACCAGCCATTACCAAGACTGATTTTAATGCTCTCAAACCGAAATCATAATGATGCTGTTTTGATAATTGTTCACGTGCCAGACGATATAGTGTAGTCATTTTCTTAGCTAATATTTTAGCTGATAAAAATCCTTGTGAAAATAACATAATTTCACAGATTTGTTGTAAATCTGGTACAATAACAACAACAGGTCTAAATAATGCTTTTACTGATTCTGGTAATTCTGTTCGTCCAGCATAACCTGGGTTCATAGTGATGAAAATACCAACTCTTGAATCTAATTTAATTGAAATACCTTCAAAGAGAAAATCTTTTACATGATTTATTAAAGCCGTTTGTATTACTTTTAATTGTGTCGATATAACTGATAAAACAGAAGCATCAATTCTATTAAATTCATCGAAACATCCCCATGCTCCACATTGACATAGACCAGAAAGTATTTTACCAACAGCTTTATAATCCATACCTTCACCACAATTAGTTACAATACAAAGTAAACCTAATGCTTTAGCTAAATCTTTTGTAGTTTCAGTTTTCCCAGTACCAGCAGGTCCAGCAGGTGCACCACCAAGAAACATAGAAAGAGCTTGTGTTAATGTTAAATATATACGATCAGTTAACGGTGTAATAACGAGACGTCCATTTAATCCCATATATTCATAACCATAATTAAATTGTCCAGTACATTGTTTAATAATTAAATTATCTGTAGATTTAGACCAATAAAATCGTAATTGTGATTCCCATTGAAATTCTGTAGCATCCATAATACTATCACGTACAAAGTCAGAGACAATATCTCTTGCGTGTACATCAACTATTAACACGGTGGTTAGTTTATTTCTATCGTTCTTTTTTAATGGACTACGTACACACAGAACAATATCATCTAATTGTTGTTGAAGCATTTGTGAATAATCCTTCATTGCATTTTTATTACCACTAGCTATTTTACGAAAAACATTTTCTATTTCCCATGTCCACCATATTTGATTTGTAGCTAATACAACCATACCTTGATAATCGAACATCCATTCAACTCTGTATGGATAGGTAATACAAACAAGAAAAGGTAATAAAAAAGCAACTAGACATATTCAAATGATAAATTACTAACTAAATGATAACGTTTCAAAACATTAAAAAGTGGCATAATTAGGCGTTTTTATGTTGTAGAGATTTAGCTGAAGTTATTTAATGCAAGATATCACTGAGATAGGTATAATTAAAAAGTTATTAAACTAAGTGGTCATCGCCAGAATGTTTGGGATGCGTTTCTTCCTCTCTAACTTCACGTTGTTGTTTCAGGACTGGCCTACATCGACGCCTGAACTAGGGATAAAGAGTGAAGTAGTCGAACTTCACTTATCTTGGAAGTCTGATCAGCCCCAATGGGTTGGTGTCTGACGAAATCTCAGCACGGATCCAGAAGGCTTGTCTGGCTTTTGCCAATTTACGTTGTCTGTGGCGAAGGCGAGATATTCGTCTATCAATTAAGGGGTGAGTATACCGTGCGGTAGTTTGTTCTGTTCTACTTTACGGCCATTAAGTGTACAAGATACTCGTAAGTTACCAGTATTTGATTACAGATGTCTTAGAAATATTTCTGGCATCTGCTGGGATCACCCGGTAAGTAATAGTGAGGTTAGAAACACGGTATCAGAGAATGATGGTAAATCAGTTGATGAGGTTGCAAATCTTCATCGACTGAGATGGTTGGACCACGTGTTGCGTATGCCTGATCACCGATTACCACGACGTTAAGTGCTAACCGGTGTTGGGGATGGTTGGAAGAAAGTTAGAGGCGGCTAAACGAAAACGTGGAATCAGTGCTTGAAGCCACTAACTTCTAGTCTGAGCCATGCCGGCAGATACAGACTACTTGGTTGGGGTCCACACGACTATCGTAACCAATGGTTGGAGACTCTGGGTGACATAGCTTAGCATCGATTATAAGGGTGTAGGTGTATACACTATTTATCTTCCCCTAAACCATGAGATTAAATTTACTTTAGACCTTTCTTTCTACCAACTAATTCTTTCTCCCTGTACCATATGGTTATATGAAATGTTTATTTTATTACCAGTGAATTGACTGCTTCTATGAATCCGTTGTTCATCTCGTTGTGTTAATGAGGTGTGGCAACTTGGATCGATGCGCATATGTGCCTTGTCCTACGTTATAGCTGACTGACTGAACTGGTCATCATTATTAATTGGAGTGGGTTATGTAATATGTGCAAAAATAAATACAACTTAAATGGTAGTACATTATCTTAGATAATGTGAAGTATACATGGACAAGGTTTATTTTCTACTTTTACTAATTTATTTCTAAGAAGACCTCAAACTGTGTAGTTTTGGTTAATAAATGTTAGCTCTTTTTTTAAAAAAACAAAGAGGAGCAACGCAATTCATTTCTGGCTAAACTAAATAAAAGGTAACATTCTTACTATGAAGCTATTTAATTTTGAATTGTCATCTGAATGATACCAACTTTTGTTAAATTATCCTAGAAGGTCGTAAACAAACTTGATTCAATAAACCGTATTTCTTGAAATATTGTTTTGTTAATAAAGAGTTGCTTCAAGTACATTTCCGTATTAACTTGGAATTGTGACTGCAATTTAGAACTTTTAAGCAGTATATTTAGAGAAAACGTAAAAATCAAATCGAATATACCTATAATACTTTGGTTCAGTGGTGTTAGTAATTCACTTCCTTGGTATGTTTTATGAACAATTTTGCATTACCTTGATTTACTAGATCGGTAGTAGAACACGGCTTCTTTTGTGATCAATCTATTACTTCGTTTCATTTCTTGTTCCATTGCAGTCATCCAGTTTTCAACATTACCAGTAACAGGTTGCGGTTGACGAAATTCCATGACTTCACCCTCAGCTGAATTCATTGCGGTCATTTCAACAAAATTAGATCCAGATTTCGATGACTGCTTAGAAAATTTCAGTGATGCTATATTATCAAACATCTGAATGAAGATTTTTCAAAACAAAAAAGTTACGTAAGGTCATTATTTATTTACCAAATGTATGAATAAGGTAGCACCCTTTTTAAACGGGAAAAGATTTCAATTAAATGCCTTTCAACTTCATTTAGTTTAAAGACAGTCATTTTAAACAGAGATCGGTTAAAGAAATCGTGTTCAGTGAATGAATCTATCGTTCAATTAAATGTTTAAATTTTGAAACGCACGATCTACAGGTTTAGGGAGAGACATATTTAAACTGGAATACAATAGTAGCTAATGATATAAATGATCTTTCATCTAAGTGTCAAATATTGTTGTTCCTTCAAATTACAGTTTCTTATTAGAAGTAATATTTGGGGCTATTATTTTGACTAAGTAAAGGAATTGTAAATACCCGTAAAATGAATGAAATTAACGTCATTTGACCAAAACTTAGAGATTGATGATGAAAAAAGATAATGCAAATTATCTTCCTTTGGTTAGCGTTTTCACAGTGTAAGCTACTGTTTTTAGAGGAGAAACGAACTAGATTCAACGAAAAACGTTTCTTGTTAACAACATAATTTACTGAAGCTGTGGAGTCGTAGTTATGGTTAATCAGCACGTAGAAGTCTATGATAAGATAAATAGATCTATACATGGTAATTTAAAAGGTGATTGAATGTATTTTTGAGTACCAAAAAAGAACAAATTAAGTAATAGATAGAAGAGCTATGTGAGTGTAAATTATAGATAAAACATAATTGTACACTTGGAGAGCATTCAGAAAATTTTCATGCAAGTAACGAATAAAGGGTAATAACCTTTAAACCCATATGGGATGTACTGTCAATGTTATTAATTCTCAAGACTAAGATGAAACGGCATTTTGAACGAACCGTTTTTGAAGAGATGTAGCATCAAGGCTTCAGCCGTAGATAGATTTCTGTCCTGAAGATTGTTTGAATTTATAGGTGATTTTATAATCTGTTTCTAGAGTGCCTACATGACCAGAGTTGATTAAATGTTTAAGAATAAAACTAATGATGTTTTCACATTTCTATTTGAACTACTATGACGCGAGGGAATAACTCTAAATTTTAGTATATTTCAACAATACGGACAAGAAGAAAGCAAATGTCTACATCTGGATGCCTTTAGCTAGTGGCACATAGCGCAAAAATATTAAGGGTAAGGTATAACCATTTTCACCATTAATTGTTAAAAAAAATGATCTAAGTGATCAAGTTATGAACGCATACTGAAGTGAGATGAACGAGCGACATTCTTAAGGTATATGATACCGGTTACTCTAAAATAAAGAATCTTCATGATTAGATATAGGCACCCTAGCATCTCCTTCCACTCAAGTACTAATATGATACGGATGCGTAAAACATAAAATATTGATTTGACTGGTGTGAGAAAACGACAATAACGTTCTTTGTATTGGTGAACATTATCGTTAGGAAAAAGAATTTCAAAGAACCAAGATTTGTCTTGAATGACTAATTTCATCAATTTCCGCCTAATATTTATCGTCGACTGAAAATTTTACAAAAATTAATTAGAACACAAAGTCTACATTGCTCATATATTACTGTTTACATTTTTCGAAACTGCTAAAATTTTGCAAAAGTTTTCTCATTAATCATTGTGCTAAATTTTAAATGACTGTAGTTGACGAATTATGTTAGTGTTGATTGAATTTATCGTCTCTAGTTCAAGTATACATATATATAAATTTACCTAAGCAGATGTTGATGGAGGCTAGCAGTGGGATTCAGGACGTGTGTTTCGTCTTATTTTCAACTCGTCGTCTGGATGTACTTGAACCCCAGAGTTGATGTTCACTCTGTGACTCGAATCAAGTACTGTTCGCTTCAAACGCCATCGCGTTATCCACTCAGCTACTGAGTCCAGATAGCCACTACCTTGTGCAACGGGGTGAAGTTTTATTACAATCAATTGCAGTCATAAACATCAATAGAAAGATTTCAACAACCAATAGAAAATGAATTAAATTTAACTAACTTTAATCATATGCTCTTGAACGCATTCACAATCACTTGATCCTAATATACTCAATAATTCATCATCAGAAATGAAAAAAAATCTTGGAAAAGCATTTCTTTTAGAATCTAAATAATTATTTAATGATTTTTGACAACGTTCCAGTCCTTCACCAAGAATAGTTAATTCATTCAATCGACCAGATACTAAACAACATGTTTTCACATTCGGTAATTTATTTGTTTCAAACATAATCTTAAATAAAATAGAAAAATAAAACAGTTTTTTATAATTCAATAATTTCATTCTATCAATATGAGGTTGTGGAGATTGATTGAAACCATAAATCGTGGATGAGCACTATTGAAGAGTCTCATACCACTACGAAACATCCGTCTAGTGCTTACAGGTTTTCAATAGTGATCTAACATCGATCAATTTATGATCTCAATAGAAAAAATTTCATTTTCATTAGTATTTTTGTTTCAACCAATATTCAATAAATATATTATAAGCCCGTAGAAATAATTTAATGTTGGTTATTTGTCTGACAGAAATGAAATAAAAACCATTTTCAACTAATTCTATTACACATAATGAAATCATAAACTGAAATGTTAATTTTGACTGATAAATATTCAGTTATATGTTTGTCATTACTTAAAAACCATTTCTGTCGAAATATATCCTAGTCATTCATTGAAATTATTGTCTTTTATAGTTTGATAGTCTTCACTTCGGTTCAAATTTACTACTTACACATTCTCCACCATTATTGAATGAATTTCCATACCTTCACTTTTGGCACTCCCTTAAAGTGTCATCCAATGATTCTACTCATTTTAAAATGATATAATCGGTTATTATAGTTTCATTAACTTGTTTACTGATTACTTTTTCCATGACAATAAGCTCTAATAATGATGCCAACACAAGTTTAGATTCAAGTTCGAATGTGGCTAAAGCCGGAGATTACTTGTTTCTCATCATACTATATCTTTTTCATATTTAGGCAAAATGGCTGTGCATCAAGACAATATCAAGCACATATCTCGATAACACCTAAACCATTCACCATATTTTCAATATTTATGCTTATACCCTCAAAATTTATAATTAGGTACTACTGCTGTAACAGCAATAGTACTTTTGATGTTGGAAGCTGTAAACCCCAAAGATTTCCACGACACAGATAAGAATATGAAAACAGATGCATTTGAAGATTTATTTCACCATTCAAAACAGATGAACTTAAGTACAAACGTTCACTCATTTATATGATGGTTTTACACACACTTAATGATTAGTAAATATTAGATCATATATGAAAGAAATACTCTTTACTACTAGGCTTACTCAAGTTATATGATTTAGTGAAAACAGTTCACACTAAATTAGCATAAAGCGTATTATCCTGAGTAAACGTTCAAAATATCACACTGAAAATGAAATAGATATATTATGCTGAGTAGTTGTCATGCTGAATTAAAAACTGAAGTCATACTGAACATAAATCACATTGAATTAATATCTTGATCTTGCCATTTTATTTATTTCTAACATGAATGTCTCACAGTAACAACATCTGTTGCTTGTTTATTCCCAAAATATATCTGATATTTTTAGTGTGGTTGATCAATAATTCAACCAACTATGTCAATACTATTAAGATTACTTTGTAAGTAATGTGATTATCAATCGAAACTTTAAAAGGTTTAAGGAACCGGTATTGTTGACCATATTGGTGTCAATAATGTTCACAATACTATCGTATAAATAATATATATATATGACCGGTGACATAAAATATAAGAATGAAAGAAAACATGACCACAAGTTTAGTAAATTACTTTTTTAAACATTTTATCAATGTTGTCGAATTTGGCAGCTTCTTCTGGTAATTGTGCACGTATATCACCGCCAATAAATATTCCTTCTAAATACATCCATTTACGTTGAACAATTAACCATACTTCAATTATTTCACTAATTATACTTAAATTTTTCTCCCATAATTGTACAGTTGATAAAAATGGACCAATAAATTTACTTGATGCCATTGATTGTAAATTCATTGAATTATCTTCAAGTATTTGAATTATATCGTCTAGTGCACCTAAAACGTATCCTCTATTTTGACCTGCTTTCACATAATTAATAACATTGAAATTAAGATTTTGCCAAGTTTCTTCAACTTCTTTAACACCCTTCAAAAGATTCAGCATATATTATAAGCTTATTTATTAGTGGTTTAAAGGTCTCTTCAAAAGAATTTAAATATGTTAGTGGACACAACGAAAAAATACATTAACAAATATCAACTAATCCGTTTAATATATATTTTTTAAAAGGTAAGAACGATTTCTGTTCGCTGTTTGAAATTACAATCTTGTTTGTATAATTTTCGATGGTTTTATTCAGTTGGCTATGTCGAAACGTGTAGAGAGGAGTTGGAACTGCAAACTCAAATGAATGTCTAATTGTGTGTTATTTCTGATCGTTGATATTTGAGAAATAAAAGTTATGACGTAATAAACAAAAAATAAAAAATAATGTCTAAAATTGAAATAAATAATTGATTTGATTTTGTATATGAATTGAATTCATAATAAAATGATGTATCAAGAAATGTATAAAGTGGTATCCATGTAAAGTTATAGCATCAGTCAGTCGCACTGTAGGACCTGACACATATATACATTGCCTCAAATTGCCATATTTCATTATCATAGAGATGGAATTGTTAGGTCAAATCTCAGAACAGGAGAAGTAGTAGCAGTATATAGAAATAAGTAAATAGTAAATATAAATTAGCCAAATAAGAAAAAATGTAATGATGAATTCAGATGTTTAGAATTCGAGGAAACATTTGAATTTGCGACCCTTAATTCTAGTAAATGTTATAAAGTGATGTAATGTAGTCAGTAACATAAACTTTCTTCATGTGCATTCCAAATTAGAGGAAATATTTTATCACGTTATAGGTAATATTGCCGAGAGTAATAACACTGTGATCATCATAACTACCAGATCATTATCACAATATAAGTATACAGTTACGAGGATTAATGTCTTAGAGAAACTCAAGGATACAGTATGAAAACAAGCACGACGGGATTATGGCTGTGAGATCGAACGTATTAGTTATATTAATATATATATATATGTTGATGAGATATACTGACAGTTAAACGAGTGTGCAAAGCAAACACAAACCATATTCGTTTTATATCTTTTAGTTTTAAGAAAACAAGGAACTTAGAAACCGATTGGTCACAGCAATAAATGCAGTAAAACAGAACGCAATTAACCTTGAAAAAGCAAAGACTTTTCAGATTGGTTTTATTTCTTATCAAGAAAGTTTAATAGTCAAAGCCTCATATACATTACCAAACAAAAACACTTTAAATAGACGAGATGGGCTACAATTAGATGCTATATGGTAATTATTGATTTTTGAGTAAGGCGAATTTTAATTTATCAATCCAGCATAATGTATATATATCGTGCACGACAACGAGGTACATTCAGTAGTTCAAACAGTCATAATTAGATATACTCTTATCAGACAGTTTGTTTAATTAAGCAGAAAAAAATATTTCCACAGCTTAAATCACAAACGGATTTCAGCTAATCCATCATTGAAAGCCTGAGAGGACTGGACTAGCATTTTGTCTTAGCATGGGGATCCGTCATATAAAAATCTAACTGACTGCCCAAGGTCCCGAGTGTAAACGCTTAATCTGTGGATCACTGGGCCGGTACCCAAAGGTGTTAGTATCCAACCATAATCAATTCACAATACTGCGCAACCTTCATACAATGCCTCGGGTAGATAACTGTTCCGCTCCCGGCGTAGTTGAACTCTACTGGTCATGACTTCTCACTACAACTTCACGAGTTGCATCTTGAAGCTAGTCACCAGTGAGCAAATGACTATTACAAGGAATATGTTCTCATTTATAGTCCAGAGGTATATATAATCAATGGTTTTTTCCCATCAAGTTTGCATGAACGCATATGTATACCTTTGTTTACCAGGATTTAGAATGACCAATTGTCCAATGTCTCAAGAATCCATACTCAACTACATAACATGATTAGACAGTGAGTTAACACATAAGTGTTTTGTATCATTATTTAGAGTTGGCAACTTTGACTATTCCCTTGATAAATCTAGAATCAAACTGGCGAACAAGAACCTTGGACATATTTTAAAATTTGGTTGATGGTCTTTTAGCGATTAGTTTATTAAACTATATAAAATCTAATTCTCTAAATCACCGATAAGTCCTGAGTTTGAATCTCGCGAGGCGAGATTGTGGATACCTACTGCTGAGGAGTCCCATGCTAGGACGAAACGGCCGTCCAATGCTTCAAGGTTTTCCATGATGGTCTAGCATCAACTGACTCATGATCTCAACTGTTGTATTTCTATTAGCAATAATAAGAAACTATACACCATACTCAAATTTAAAAATACTCGAATTGTCTTAAAAAAGTAATCCAATGTTTCATACTTTTTCAATACTTAATTCCTTGATTGCAAATGCTACAATTTCAGATATTTGATCTGTAAACCGATGTAATTCCATGGAGAAAATATTTGCCAATGTAAATGTTTCTGGATTCATATCGAATGTTTGTCCTGTTTTACGCATCAATTCATTCCAATGTCTGTTGAATTTGTGAAAGAAAAAAATATTTGAATTTAAAACCAAGTTTAATAAATTTATCCTAATTATTCTCAGATCAACAACCCGTCAAACTTGATAACGAAAATAATAAATGGTGTTCGATGTCGTCTCTTACACATAACAGAAACTATTGGAATTCGAGCCAATAATCTAAGTCTTTGTGTTCATAAGAAATTTGTTATACCCATATCTCTCCCTAGGCCTTAATAAATGATTTTATTTATTATTATTTTCCATACTCTCTCTTCATTTATTTTTTGCAGCCCTGCCTACCATTTTTTCTCTCAAATATACGTTTCACGGTCCAATTATCTGAACGCTTCTTATTACGCAATCTTATAAATTTTATTAATGTTATTTCACTGTTTATATTCTTCTAATCATTGACCTATTTCCCATGATGTAACATTGATTCAAGCCTTTATTATTCTTATAACAACTAGTATACCTGTCATCACACTACCAATTTGTACTTTTCACTTATTTATGTAATCTATTCTACTGTTATCACTGAAAATAATAAATATCAATTAACGTAAAAATGAATCATTGTATATCTGTTTCGTATGTCTAGGGGACAAATCAGTTTTTTTAAAAAGATGTTATTCATCATTTGTAGTACAACTGACTATTAGGTAATGTCATCTACGTAGTAAAAAGCATAAACGTCCCATACTAGGACAAAACGGCCGTCAGGTGCTTCCAGTTTTTCCATGATAGTTTAGCTTTAATTGACTCATGAATTCAACTATAAAATTACTATAATAGCCACAAAACCCCCTTCTGATAGTGATAAAAAGTAACACAGACAGAATGGTGACTGATATGATTAGTATAATAAATCTCTGTATCGAACGGTTTTAAAATTACAATTGTGAAATTCTTAAAACATAATGTTTTTTTCAAAAAGGCTGTATAAAAATCTAAAGTAAAACTAACTCCAAGGTTTTCTACCTAAAACTATCAATTTTATTTGTAATGTTATTGCCAATAATAATGATTGAAAATGAAATTATGATAGTGAAACTCATTCAAATATACTATTGAAATGAATCACACATCGAATTAAATTGTATTCTACAGACAAATATTCATATTAGATCTTCAATTGAATAACATTATTCAAAGAAATAATATTTAATAACAATAGTGAATAATGTAATACATTTTACCTTTCTCTTAAAGCTTCATTTTTTAAATCTAGAAACAATGGTAATGAATCTCGAAATGTGCGAATTTGTTCAAATACTACACGTCCGATTGGTAGAGTTCTAACAGATTTTGGTAAATTTCTTAGATCTTTTAAATAACTTTCAATACCACTTTGTAAAATTGATATATTTAAATCTCTCCATAATATTTGTGACCATTCTTCACGAGCTTGCTAAAAATTCGAATATAAATGATAACAATATTATTAGGAAGTTTGTCAAGATTGTTGAATCTTATGATTTACATGATCCATTGATTATAGTTACCAAACCATTGAAAATCTGAGCGAACTAAAGAGTTGTTTCGTAATAATATGGAACTCCTTAACGCTATGGATCCGCGATCACATCGAGGATCTAAGCTAGGATCTTTAAACTTTTCAGGAAAGGCTTAACATCTAGACCACTGATACGGTATACAATAATTTACATTTCTAACTTCATTTGATTCGTGTTATTGTATGAACATCTTCCAACTTCATCTGTGATTAAATGTGTAATTGTTAACACTGTAAAATTTAATTGTTCATGGCTTCTCAATGGAGCTCTTCGAATTGCATTACACAACTAGTCATTAGTACGGATGAACTACAGATATGGTCGAGTTTTATATTTCACATGAATGAGTGACTATCCATTTATGTTTTTACTTATCATCTGGCAGAGGTGAATCTATTATGCAGACTGTAAAACATTAAGATTATTACCATCTAAATTGATGACAATAACATTCATCATGAAACGATATACATGAAAATGGATAACATTGAACAACTTATCCTCCAGAATTAAAAGGTACACAATTATTATAAAAATTACATAATTCTTAATCTACTATAAATCTTTTTTAAAAATTGTCCTAGAAATAGATTACTTATGATAATATACAATCGTTATTCAGTATTAACGAGGAAAAATAATATTTACTGTTAACTTAGTTTATAATTTGTGTATCTATGTAATATGCTAACATTTGAAATTGTTAATATTGAAATACTAATATTAATATTTCCCCCAAATGCCCTGGTATGGCCGAGAGTGGGGTGGGTTCGCCCTCCCTCTCGAAATACTCTCACACGGCCACGCGTATACAGCCTCTGCCAGGGAAGTTCTGCTCACTGCCTTCTCGTGGCGAGGGTGTTGTTAACGAAATTGAGAGGACGAAAAGCGAATGTCCGGCACTTTAACCGGATCCCAAACCAATGGTGCACATGGGCTCCAGTATACTGCGGGAACGAATGGCGTATGAACCAACCGTTGGTCACCGGCTACCATGGGACTGAATCTCCTCACGATGCTCCACTGCCTTGTGAGTCAGACCTTTATGTCAAAGGCTCGGGTGTGGTACCCTAAGAAAACCACCTGCTTCGGTTTGGGCACCCGGGCAGTATCACAGCCCTCACACAAATAGAATGATTTATGTGGCGCATATGTATTTGGTGCCTCCTTGTACCAATATCTATGTGTTAAAATAAATAAATAAATTCAAATAAATTAGACGGTCATTTTGAATAGTAGTTAATACCAACTTAAAGGAAAGTTATTTCAACTGTGAACTCGATGGTAATGATAAATAATTACTCGACGAAAACCAAATATCTTATTGAGAAAGTATTACTTGTAAATTCACAGATTGAAAAACGGCATATTGATTTTATGAAAAAATTGAAAGATAATGGGATAATCACCACAGGTGGGTGTTTATATGGATTACCTAAAGTACATGAGCCTAGATAACCGTTACTTCCTATCTAGAACACGTCTATTTCATAATATCATTAAATCACTAAATAGTTGATTCAATAATGAAAACTAGTTAGAAGGGATGTATCTCAATATACTGTTTATGGTACTTGTCAATTATTTTCATAGTTGATAGTATTACTAATGTTTATACATCGAGAGAACTCATGTTCTCGCTTGATTTTAGTTCTCTGTCCATGAGTATACTACCTCTGTATACGTTTACGAAATCATCTGCCGATGTGAAGCAAAGTACATAGGGTGTAGCCAGAGCCTGCTTTCAACCTAGATACAAGAAAATGCTCCAGTGTGTTTCTACAAGGATGAGAAGGAAGTTGTTAGGAATTCTATATTTGAACATTTAATCGGTTTTAATCATTTCGCTGATCGAAACATTGATTCTAAGGTTTTTTGTAGAATTTGCCCAAATGTATAGGGTCTTCTTTGTACTACAATCCTTAAAACATAAGACAATTTTGCCTACCGTGAACTGAAGCTTAAACTGTATGCACAAAAGTGTTCGCAAGTAAGACCGAAGGTCCTGGGTTCGAATCCCGGTTGTGAGATTGTGAATGTGCCTTGCTAAGGAGTCCTATACTAAGACGAACCGGCCGTCCGTTCAAGATTTTTCATGTTGGTCTAGCTTTCATCGATTCATGAATTCAACTATTAAATTCCATATTAACTTGAAAAGGGATAGACAGTTTAATAAAGATTCATTTCTGTTACCTTTTGTTTCAAATAAATATTGAATAACTGATCTAATCCATTCAATTCTTTCTGAATATTAATTAATTGAGGATATTGAGTTAATGGTAAATTAAAAAGTTGTTCAGCTGATGTTAATTCTTTGCGTTTAATTTCAAGTTCATTTAGTTCTTCATGATACTCCTAAAGTGATTAATTTTTTTAAGAAAAGGAGAAAATGAGAAACAGAAAATTACTAAAAAATAATAATAATTTCACACTGTCAGACGATTGTTGAATACAAATATTTAATGTTTTATGCATTTTCTATATCCACTACATATACATATACGTATGCATCCAAGAACTTATCAAAGACCGTATTCAAGAATATTAGGTCTCTGAGGGAGTGTTTCAAATTCAAAAGTCAAGTTGCCAGTACAACTGGCTGACGAGTTCTAGATAGCATAAAATCTAGGTCAAGAGTTTCCTGTAGAAAATTAATTTCAACCATCTAAAATTTCAACTTAGTACAAATGATATCGAGTGATTTAGTGTTCACGTCTCATCTTGATCGATAGAATTCGAACAGCAATAAAGGACCGAGCAAATATGACATTGGTCACTACTCAAGGATTGGCCAATTATAAAAGCAAATGTTGGGCATTTAAATTACTTTTGCAGATGTTACAGCTAAATCCAAATCATGGATCAATGTGCCAGGACCATTTTCTGTGAAACGTTTTTCAAACTCAATCACCAACTGATTAAACTTTGTAATATCTTCTAAAGTAATTTTAGCAAATTTGTTTTTGATTCGACTCAATGTATGTTCTTTATAATTTGCAAATTTTAGTAAATTCATCCATACTGATCGTAAACTTTTTACTGATTCAATTTCATTTTCCGGTACCGGTAAATTGTGATAATTTAATAAACGATAACGTTCTTCAATATCGATTAATTTTTCTTCAGTTTCCAATGTTGTTAATCTGATTTCATGAATAGCACGCAAAATATCTTTTAATTCAGTCAGTGTTGTTGGCACATCTTCTAAATCTTCGGATCGATGCTGAATGTTGTAAGAAAGAATAGAAGAAACAAAAAGTTACAGAACAATATAAATCTGGTCTGGAGGTTTGAAAGTAGTTTATTATATATATGATTTAGATGATAGTCTGGGTAACATTTACATCAGCTTCACAAAGGGATATATATATGTATATATATATATCATTGTAGTTAAGCTGTTCTATATAGAAAACACGATAAAGCCGAAATTCATATCTCTATTGTTCATTTTAATAAAATTATTGCAAATAATTATTACATATCTAACTGAATAGAAATTAATGTGTAATTTATGATATACAATCATATTTCTACATCGTTAAAATGATGTCTAATTGAATATACTGTCGTTGTTATTCTCACTTGCTGATAAAAATCACTAGTCTATTCTTCATGTTAGTCTGCTTTATTTTCCTCAGATAACTCTATATTGATTCCACATAATCATCAGAATATTAAGATGGAAATGGGTGACTAATCTTATGGCTTTCTACTTTAGAGTTCTTAAGTTCTGTTTGATCTATCGGTGGAGAATAGCCAGTATGAAAATCTATCATAGTTGAGTTTATATTTGAAAATTTACATCTTGTAAACGTATATTGTAAGTAACAATATTTGTTATTGAAGAATGTTATAACTTTATTTTGTGAAATAACTTGATTCTTCACATATACATTCGTAATAGTTTCCACAGAAATTTTGATTTTTTTGAAGGTTATCTGATATATATCGTTTTATCATCTATTCAACAATAAACTTTACAGGGAATTTTAGTTCAAGTTTTCTAAGCTCGCTAACATGAAATGAAGTCGAAGGAAATTTAATCATCAGTGTGATGTGAATCGGAGAAATTTTTCATTATGTTCAGCTTATATAAAATATAACAGAATTCATTCACTTTTGTATCAATCGGTACGTCAGCTACATTGTCCCTACAAATAATCTCAGACAACAAAGCTGAACATTATCACATGATCTGTCTTACAGACGTGTGGATTGAGTTACTTAGGTTTTTGATGAAACTTGGGAAAATCTCTCAAGAAATCCATAAAATGTTCCGAGATGTTTATGAGAACAAAAAACTGAAATGTAGTCCTATTCAAGTGGAGTTTATGGAAACAACAAGAATGATTCAATACCAAGATCACCATTTGTTTTGTATGTTTATTAATAAATTATATGTGTATTATGGTCTTCTTGTTTCGATGGATCATTCCTGGAAAACGGAATCTGGAAAATTGTCTGTAGAAATGATTTTAGTAAGCTGTGAAATCAAGCAGCCGAAACAAATTACTTTTAAGAGTTTCGGGATGTATTGAGTAATGAAAACAGAAATTGAACAAGTGTATTATCCCAGAGAGGGAGTATTTAGAGAGGGAGACATCGGATTTTGTAGTATAAAGGGTTCAAGACTCTATTTAGAGTACTTATTAAACAGATGATTAGAACGTGTTGTACACTTATAGAATTGGACAGAACAATTAAATTTATTATATCATATCATATATATTATGAACACATAAATGATAGCATTGATTTACTTTGAACTCTTCATGTAAACTTGTCAACATTTCTTTACCAATATCATGAAGTTGTTTACCATAGGCTATTGTCCATTTTCTATTATGTTCATGTATATTATGAATTAAACTTTTTAATCTTAATTGTATACAACCAATATTCAATAATTCAGGTGTTTCACATAAATCATTTAATTTATTATTCATTTCTAATATTTTCTCATGAATTTCAATTGCAGTACGAGGTGTTTCCATCCATTTTTCCACTTGAGTTAACTAAAATAGTAAATTTATATTTTTGATCATATATGCTCTATATAAATGTTTAACAAAACACTAACCGATAAGAAATTCGGATTAAGATGTATACAGATTATTTTTTTGTTCTATTTGTAGCTACAAAGAGGATAACAAGTCTGATTAATTTAAATACTTAAGTAAAAATCGAAACGAGAAGTTTCTAACGAATTGCCTAAGAGAAAACAGTAAATTGTCTTAAGTCAGTCAGTCAGCTATAACGTGGGACGAGGCACATATATGTATCGATCCAAGTTGCCACACCTCATTAACACAATGAGATGAACAACGGATTCATAGAAGCAGTCAATTCACTGGTAATAAAATAAACATTTCATATAACCATATGGCATAGGGAGAAAGAATTAGTTGGTAGAAAGAAAGGTCTAAAGTAAATTTAATCTCATGGTTTAGGGGAAGATAAATAGTGTATACACCTACACCCTTGTAATCGATGCTAAGCTATGTCACCCAGAGTCTCCAACCATTGGTTACGATAGTCGTGTGGACCCCAACCAAGTAGTCTATATCTGCCGACATGGCTCAGACTAGAAGTTAGTGGCTTCAAGCACTGATTCCACGTTTTGGTTTAGCCGCCTCTAACTTTCTTCCAACCATCGCCAACACTAATCATCATTGTTTTAGGAATTAAATTTAAATGTAAATTGAATTAAATGATTGATGAGTTGAAATGTTGAAATGTTATTTTGTTAATATTATAGAAGATATTCGTGTATATTACAAAGATGTTTAGGGGCATAGAAATAAATAAGTTGAGTTGAACGTTTAGAATTTTATTCATAGTTATCTGCAATGATCATCGCTTTTATCAAGTAGGATAAAGCTTGATTATCGACTTGTTTTAAACAAAAGTCTCGGTTTTGACTTTGCGAATTGCTATAGCCTCTGGTATTCAGTAGATAAAAATAAACTGTTTTTTTTATTAATTTAATGGTTGTGGATGTTTCTTCGTTTGTATTCTGAACTGAATTTTGATAAATCTTAGCTGGTACACGTGCCTCCTGAGCAGATCGCTTCGACAAAGCCATTATAACACAAATTTACATAGAATAAATAGAATGTGACTAGCAATGAATCCCAAGAGGCATGTTTTTTCTTATTGGTTAAAATAAAATTTATACCCGTTGCACAAGTGAGTAGCTATCAGGACTCAGTAAATAAGTAGATGACTAGTTTGAGGTCGGAAGCGAATAGTACATGGTTTAAATCCTCGAGTAAACATTAAATCTAGATGAAGAGTTCCTAATAGGACAAAACGTGCATCCATTTCTAGTCACATTCGATTTGTTCCAAATTTACTGTTTACTAATTACTGCAGATGGACTTGTTATATCCACTTTCTGTGTAATATCAGAGAGACACTGTATCTATCTATCTATCTATCTATCTATCTATCTATCTATATATATATATATATATATATATATAGATAGATAGATAGATATAGATATAGATATAGATATAGATGCTGCTAAGTATGACATTTGTTATATTTCCTTTTAAGATTACAGTCAATCGTGTTTATTATCATGATTGTTCAACTAATGATATTTTGGGGGCTATTATCATTTATTTTTATTTAGGATGAAAAATACTGAATCTTTTATTTTCATTATATCAGTTTACAAAAATAGGAATTGATATACATCTTGAATTAATAAAAAGACAAGGAAACAATAAACCGCTTTGTTGTTTTAGGAATAAAGTTTTATCATATGAAATATCATAATGTTCCCAGTAAAGTAATGATGAGTTTTCAGAAAGGGTTTTGTGTAGATTTTAGAAATTTCACTGATTGAAATCATGAGTCAATTGAAGCTAGACCACCATGGAAAACCTGGAGGCACTGGGCGGCCGCTTCGTCCTAGTATGGGACTCCTCGGCAGTGCTCATCCACGATCCCGCCCCCCGCAAGATTCGAATTCAGGACCTATCAGTCTCACGCCAGGCGCTTAACCAACTAGACCACTAAGCCGGCATCCAACGGTGTTAATGTCTAACTTTAACCAATCCACAAAGTTGCGCCACCGTACACCATTGTCTTCAGTGAGCTGATATCTCACAACAGACCTGGTTGGACTCCACTGGTCACGGCTTCTCACTAGAACTCCAGGAGTATCTCTTGAAGTCAGTCACTAGTGAGCAAACGATTACCGTTTCTGATTTATTGTACTCACTTTATTGGCAACAAATTTCCCTTTATGTTTACGCCAACTATCTTGAAATCGTTTCACTTTTTCAACTGTATTCGCATAAACTTTTGCAATTTGTTGAACTAAATCAGCTATTTCACTGGATTTTGCAATTTCTTCATAAAAAGTAAAATAGTGTAAATCTTCACTACCATCAATCTTAACACCTGGAGCAATCACACATGAACCACGATACCATCTAACGAATACACGTGTTGATTCAATCGCATCCCTTAATTCCTTTAGAGTGAGACGGAAAATAAAAAAATATTAATATGTGACGGGAATAATAGTATATTATTACCCTTAAAATAAAAACAAATCTTATATAGCATTAAAAGGCATATATAAAACACACTACTACGTAGAGGTGGATGAAGTAATCTTTTATCAGGAAGAACTACTTGATCAGGTATTGGTTGAACTTATTATTTGAATATATTCACCATTATTCAAAAAATCATATCCTTGATTTACTGAAACTCGAACAATGTGTGAGCAATCGAGTTATATCTGATTGTTGCTATTCATTTATTTGTTTCTATGTAAACACAGTGATATAAATAGTGGTCATCGTGATATGCAGTTTCTAAATTTTATGAATACAGCTGGCCATATTATTGACAACTGGCCTCTAGTTAAGTAATAAATTAACTGTTGATACTTTTGTTTAAGACGACACTTAAAATATTGCAGACGAATAGAATAACTAAAATTAGTCAAATGAAAATAAAGTGCATTGTATCATATCTCAGGGAACATTACTTTAACTCGACTAAAGTAATCGTAATCTCAATCGCAAGTTTAGATACTTCCAAATATATTGGGCAACCTGTTTCATCACTAAATAAGCGAACTCAAACTATTTGGCCAACTTTTTCATTGTAATCCATCTAAAGTGATATTTTTAAAATGTAATATTAGTTGTTCTAAGTTAAAGATTAAATTTTATCAGTGAGAATATAATTTATGGACGACCTTTGAGCGAGGTTAAAGTGACCTTGAGAGTGTTCACCTAATAACTAAGACAAAATGAGGGTTATAAACCAATGTGAAGAATTAGAATTATGATTTACAGTTTATGGTTAGGGTTACGAATTAGATTTAGGGTTTTCATCACGAAATGACATCAGCTATAATGCCAAAATTCTATTAAGCCAAATGGATGGATGAATTTGGCGTCAAAATCCGAGACCTGTTATCTTATACCTGAATGATTCGTCCATAAATTGTAGACTCGCCTAAATCTGTTCTGACTATTGTTTTAAAACCTGTGGTTAGTGAAAAGGAAATTTTTAAAGTTAATTCAATATATCATTACTTGAATGACTAGTCGATAAAGTTCAGCTGGCTGTGGATTACCAACTACATCTGTTCCAGCTAACATAAGATCAACTGCAAACAATGGCTCTTGTTGACGAGAAATACGACTTAAATATGATTGAAGATTTCTAATCACCATCTCAAAATAAAATAAAACATAAGAAAATCTAAACACAATCAAAAATACGTAATAGTAAAGAAACTTGAAATAATTACATTGGCCTTGATATAATGAGGTATTTATGATACAATATAGAATAATATTCATGAGACCATTGTAATGTTAATCAACAAGATTTATTTCATCATAAAAGATAATTACACCCTAAGATATATTATGAGGTTTTTCACATGCCTAACTGGCTATAACTTTATCATTTTCCAGTCATTCTTGTCATATCTTATAAATGTTTTTATTTGTTTAAATATTATATAGTGAAAATTCCTATTTTGACATTTGATAAATAAAGAAGGAACGAATCGAGCAATCAACATTTGTCTTCGCTTCACTGAGCCTTGCGCTATACTTCAGATACTCGTTGAGAATCTTTAAAGCAAATGTTTGCTCAAAACGTTTCAATATAGTGAAGATTCCCGTTTTGACATTTGGTAAATAAAGAAGGAACGAATAGAGCTCGAATCAGCTCGATTCATTCCCTCTTTATTTACTAAACATTTTATACGAGTTATTTTCTTGATTAGATTATTTGTTTATCAAACAGTAAATGGAATATGATAAATTTTTTCGTTGAATATTATCGAATACAATGAAGATTAGTTTAGTCCACCAGGTTGATGCGTAGTTCAATAATATTTAAGAGCCTTATGTTTATTGTGAACTTTTATACCCTCTAAAATATAAACAAATGTTGATTATTTTAAGAACATTGATAAATGAAAGTGTTTTTTTTATTGATCATCATTTATTCTGAAAAACATGGTCATGTATCGCTGATATTTCACACGCACTTTTATGTCTAAGAATAACATTTCCATCAAAGTTTAGAATATCAGTGGTCTGACAGTCTGCAAATCAAATAATATTCCAAAATGATGGAAGTCTACAGGACAATGGGATACGTTTCACTGAAATACTTAAAATAGTACTTTGTCAACAATTTACTCGACGTAAAATTAATTATATTTCTAGGTGACAAGAACCACGATTCATTGGGATGAACTGAGATAATGAAACAAATATAACTAATATCAATAATACGTTTTATTCCTCATTATTTTGTGAAATTTGTTTGTTGGTCATCAACTGGAAAGGTTTTTACATATTTTTCGCACAGTATATAACCCCTTATTTTAAAATTAGAACGAGCATGTCTTTACACCAAGATAAGAAAGTAAGTTGAACTGGATAGAGAATTTTAAACCATGATATTACAGTCCTCTACATCAAAGAGTTCTGTCAATATATACTAACATGTACAATAACAAAACTAATATCGATCCCTTAGATAGATTTGTGCTTTACCTAGTCTTATATACTTATCGCTACATGTAAAATTTTCAGTTAGTTGTGGAGATTGTTGGATTTCACTAAAATCAGGTACCATTTGAAATCCGATGGCCGTTTTTTAATAGTATTGAATTCCTTAGCAGTACTCATTCATGACTCCGTCAGTGGAACAGAAAGTTAAACGTTCATGCCTCGGGTTCGAATCCTGTATGGGGAATCGCAAATGAGCACTGCTGAGGAACTCCGTATTAGGACAAAACGGACGTCCGATGCTCCCAAGTCTTCAATGGCGGTTTAATTTAGATTGGTTTGGTCTTTTATTTGCATTATCATATATATATATATATAATTGAATGTTAGTTCTCATAACATTGCATAGTTACCGCATAAATTCGATCGAATAGCTTTTTCTCCCAATATTCAAAATAAGGGACCATTATTTTACTATTCCCTGTATTTTGCTGAGTTATTGCACCTTCAAGTTTAATAATCAATGGTGTCAAGGAGGTATGTTGCATACGTAACTCTTCAAATTGTTTCTGTCTTTCAATAACTGTCTGTGCAAAATATTCCTGTATAAAAAGGGAGGAATAAAATCAAAATCATATAACTAACTTTTAATTACATCAAACAAATTACACAATTTCTGAATTTTGGTTACATTTAAGTAAATATATATTGAATTGTACAGCTTTTATATTTGGCTTTAATAAGAATTAAACAACCACATTCACGAATGAACTGGTACTAGTTATTCGTGTAAGACGTTTTGAATAAATGTCGTATTACATAACAATGATTTACTTACCTTAACCAAAGTACCTGAATAATTTAAATCTGTCATCATACTCCACAAATATAACTGATATTATGAGTAAAAACAGCATAGATTTATAGTATCTATTCATCTTTAGTTGTTAAACGTCATAGAAGTATGTCATTTGAAATCCAACTTTAATACCATGAATTCGTAGCCTAGATGTATTTACTGTTATTAGTTCTGAACAGTTTGATTAAATATTCTTTATGTGATTGTTTAACATATATTCAATATTTCTTTATTTACATTTATTTTTCTGTTTCTATCATGCTACAAAGTGTATTAGCTCATATTTATCCTCTTTTTAGTAAGATTTTATTGTTATTCTATTTACCCATTTATCATTAACAAAGGATTAGAAATCTCACTATCATTTTAAAAAAATGATCGACTAAAAACCATCATATTTGTAGGCTTTTCATTGAGTTAGTAAATGAGTTCTTAAAACGCTGACTACAAGGAAATCTTTTCACTGAAATAATTCTATGTTACTTTTTGTAAGCAATGATGGATAGTGGCTAGCCACTATATGTCAATTACAGGCTGATCAATTGCAGTCTTAAACCTCAATGGGAAGATACAAGCCAATTGCTACCAAGTGAATTCTATGTTACGTTTCAACAGAAAGGTAAAACTTATTTACAGATGGATAAATTACGTCATGAGTAAGTTCAATCGTCATAAAAATACTAGTTAATAAGTAGTGGAAAATCTCGTTGTAAAGTTGCATAATAGTTTTGTAAGTCCCATTTGATGACCATACCAAGATACGTTATATCGCTTACTTAAATCTAGAATACAAAAACATGGATCAGATAAATTAATTATCACTGTTTGTTGTGGTTTATTGTGAAATCAATTTCTAACATTTACAATGTTCGCACTTATTTGCAATCATACTGTTCAACGCCTGAATATCTTTCTTTTTACGTAAAGCGATATTACTGTTACTTAGGTAGATTCGATAATAACAGTAAAATAGCTAAAAATAGGTATTTGTCAGGTTTTTTCGCTATTTAACGAAAGATTTCAATAAATTATATTCACGGTTGCAAGTTATGCATTCAGTGGATGATCTTAAAGTCTCCAATATTCAAAGGTGTTATTCATAGTCAGATTGTCAAATAAGCAAAATCGTCTAACTTCAATTAAAAGGGTCATTGATGCACCATATTTCAGTTAATCATATTAGAATAATAAGATAATCGAAATTGGTATTAATTACCTTGCATGTGAAATATTCTCCCATTGCTGTCTTCTGATATTCATCTGTCCACTTGGGTGTTGGAAATAAATCAGCTGAACCAATTAATTCTAAACGCGCTTCAATATCTGCGGCTGTTTTTTTGCATAAGTTACACACGGAAGCGAATCGATTTAATTCTTCTTCTACTTTTGTAATAAATTCATTTATACCAAGACTTTTCCAATTCAGTATATCCCATCCAGGTTTCATAATTGTTCTCAAATTGATGATATATGATTCCAGTATAGTTAACTCAACGGGATCAAGTTGTGTAAATAATTCATGACATCGTTTAACTAAAAATTTCAACTTCTCCACATAAACTATATAGCTGGATTCCTATTTAAATGATAAGAAATGGTAATAATATAAATACATAGACTAACGTATGAAAAATAGGATGTTGCTGGAACAATTCGGTATATCTTAAATGGTAACTCATATCATGTTTGTCTTTCCCTTATTGTAAATCGGATTTTCTCAATTAATTCTCAGTATGACCAATAATCTAGCTGACTCAACACCACCTAAATTATATTATAATGTTAGGTGGTTGGATAGTTGGCAGAATAGCTTAAAGCTGGGTTTCATGGCATGTGGCACTCATCAGCAAGGCATACCTGCAGTATTGAGATAACTGTTCCGAGACTTTAACAGTAAGCCATCTGGGTATTCTGTGAACTACCTTCAACAACCCAAATGTCAGAAACGCAGTAAAAAGTTCTTCGGTAAGTAATAACACATATAACCTTTTATATTTTACTAAACAATAAATAAAGTCTGACTCAAATGGCACTATTCAGATTTGCGTACAGCAATAAATTGTGATATGAATCGAATTCGTGAGGTGATTGCGTTATACCATAACAATTCAAACATGTCTTTGCCAACCCGACCGTTGTTGCTACCTTGACGTGGTGGTCGGGCTTGCCTATTGTGATTAAGCAATCGAGATATACTGGCTGGTACAACCGTTCCTCAAAGTCCTACCATGTCAGACAGGTTGGTTGAAGAGCGGTAAGACTAAAAGCAACAAACCCAAGGTCCGAAGGCGAAGTCGTACTGCTGAATGTACAGAGGTGTGACAGCAGTGAGGTGTTTCCTTCGACAACCAGCATGACAGCGATGCTGCCTTCCCACAAGGAGAGGTGGGGTTAGAAAAGGTCGACCCTAAAAATGCACACCTCGCCTTATCCCACGGATATCCGTCTCCGGCGGTAAGTTCTCAACAAGCACAAAGCTAACACAAAAATTACTCATAAAAAGGTCACTGAGACCACCTCTAATCCAATTTCCTTTCCAGATAACTCCAGAAGAACCTTTCCACGGTGTAGGCAACCGGGAAGTGATAACCGCCCTCATATCTCTGACAGCACCCAAGGCCACTGTTTATCTTTACCAAAAAATACAGTTTTCATCTCATTCGTAAAATATAGTGTTCTTTCTTACATATGATGATTGCATAAGGGTAACCGAGATCCTGTTGTCTACGTCCTTATTCTAATGAAGTTCTACCGGTCAGAGTAAAATATTACTGTCAGTTTCGATGATAATATTGCTTTAGTTTTCTGAGATGTTAGTTAGTTAAAAGTACTTAGCCATTACAAAACTCTAAGCCTATGATATGTATAGTATTGCATTGATCTTGGTAACAAAGTAATATGAAACTCAACATCAAGCATACAGACCATCAGGGTTTTTTTAAAGAAAAGAAAAAAGAAGAATGTTCTTGATACTTATAGTTTGATTCAAGTCATCATGATTTGGATTAAAGAGCTAATTTACCTTAACTAAGTATAAAGCATATTATATTAAACCATCAATTTAACAAATACGTTAACCCATTATACCTTTTTACTGTTTTTATTTAAAAAAAACATAGCCAAATGCTTAAGATAAGCGTGTATGTATAAAAAACAACATTTTTTTGAATGGTTGAGATCATGAGTCTGTTGAATCTAGACCGCCATGGAAAACCTGGAAGCACTGGAAGTCCGTTTCGTGCAATTGTGGGACTCCTCAGCAGTGCACATTCACGATCCTGCCTATCAATCTCAACCATTAAAATTACTAAAATATCCACAAAACACCACTTCTGAAACATTTTTTTGTCGAGAAAAATACATTTTAAAAAAATACAATTCATTTGTTCTCACTTTCATTACAGCATTGATAACAATCTCTGGTATTTTAAATCCTAACGCTTCCAAATGTTTTGCTTCTGTTATTGTTACCAAGATATTCGGATGAAAATTAACTAATAATTCATATTTACCTAAAATTTAATTGTCAATAATGTGAAATGACTAATAATAAAAAAATATGAAGAAACAATAAATAAACTGTGATCAAGTTTCTCATTACTATAAAGAGTATATAAATAAATAGTAGATCTTTGTATAGATTGCAAGTGAACTATTTACAATAGTGTATCGGAAAGGTTATGGAAAAATGAAAAAAAATACTAGTATAGGGGTTGTGGAGATTATTAAGTTTTTGATTGAGATCATGAACCGATTGATGTTAGACCATCACAATTGGAAATCTGGAAGCACTGGACGGCCGTTTCGTCCTATTGTGGGACTCCTTAGCAGCGCGCATCCACGATCCCGCGAGCGGGATTCGAACCCAGGGCCTTCAGTCTCGCGCGCGAACGCTTAACCAACTGGATCACTGAGCCAGCATCCAATGGTGATAGTTTCTAACATCAACCAATCCACGAAATTGCGCGACCAATACTTATTTTACAAAAGATTGATTACACTATGATAATTGACCAAATTGAAAATTGCTCCCATCGCACAAGCAGGTGGCTATTAGGATTCAGTAGCTGAGTGGATAACATGATGGTGTTTGAAGCGAATGGTACTGGGTTCGGGTCTTAGAGTGAGCATCAACTCTGAAACGCAGGTGCATAGATCTGACGAGTCCCAAATAGGACGAAACACGCATCAAACTGGATTCCACTGCTAGCCACTATTCATCATTGCCAATCAATACATAACTAGATTACAGATAATTATCTTTATAGAAATATCTTCCAACAAAAGATAAGTCGTCTTACATAATTCATTATGATTCCAAGTCATATACACTGACTTATAGTCAAATTTAATTAGAATGGTTGAGTAACTAACGATCTTTTAAATACTTTTGTTTTTTATTTATATCTCGAAATTTATAGTATGGATTATTCATTAAAGAGGAAGAATGTATCGAATATATCGGATATATTCGATAATTTTGTTGTTTGATTATATTTTCCCTGAAAAACTTGGACCAAATTGCCAGAAGAAACGTCGGATTTCCTTCAAATTCTTTCGCTGAGATTTTACAAATACATTCTTTCTCATTAATGACTCACATTAACTCGGCATCCAAATATTGTGAAACTATTCGTTCAAATTTAGACGAAAGTTCTTATTTATGGATTATTCAGTTGATGAATCATAGATCAAACTGTTTAGCGAGAAATTGTGAAATAAATAGGCAGTTACTAGTGTATTACAAAACTATTATTTGAACAGTTCATGTAGATTAGTTTAGTTGGTTTATATTTAAGATAATTGATAATATGGATTTTAAGTTCAAGGGTACGACGAATTATTTTTGAACACATAACGAGGGGGTAAATTTACGAATAGCTAATGTGTTAATAAATCTGAGAATTCGTTCTTAACAATTTCTGGACCTCTTCAGGGTCCAGACAAGTTAGCTGGACGAAACGTTGGAATTATTTAAGTTTCATTCGCTGAGATTATTTCAAATATAATTTTCACATATAATGACTTCTCTTTACTCGGCACCCGATTTCCGTGAAACTATTCGTTCTAATCTTGACGAATATTTGCATAAATTTCTATACAATGTTTTAAAGGCTGTATTAATGTTAATTTTGTGCCCTGTTTCAATTATTTATTTCGCTATCGATGAACATGGTTTTCTAACCCTCACGGTGATCGGATTATTTGACACTAATTAGTTTTGAAGCCATATAGACACATACTCAATGACCTTTGATTGAATTGTTCAGTTACTTCCCCTTATGCATGTGTATCCACACGAACATGTAAGTTGATAAATACAATGGGATGTGACATAAGCATTTGTACATTGTCTCGGTCTATTTGCAATTATGAGCTTAGCATAATAGGTTTACTTGATAGCTGCTTTCAATCTCTATCAGATCAAATCGATATTTTTATTATCAGATATATAAATACAATTTTATAGACAACTTTATAGTAAAAAGAACACCACAATAATAAAAATAATAAACGGTGTAAATCAATTAAACACTTACTGAATTCCATAACTATTCTACTTAATTCATTTGTATTTTGTTCACTTTTCGATGAAGAATTTAAACTTAAACGACTTATTGGTAAAGAAGATATTCTTGTTATCATTGATGATTTAATTAAATCTTGTTGTTTTAATAAAGTTTGATTTAAATATTGATCAAATGATTGTTCTATTTGTATTAACCAATATTTATATAATTGTTCTTCATAATTTTTCATTTGTTTACCAATAATAATATATTGATTACGTATAGATTTACCTTCATCATTTTTCATTAATTCATTAATTTTTAAAAATTTTAATATTGGTTTTTTAATACAATTTAATAAATATCTTTCCCATCGAATTAAACCAGATATTGGTGGTATAAATTTAGTTAATATACGTATCATTATTTCATTTTGTTGTTCATTATGAAATGGAGGTAAAATTGCATTTTGATAAAATATACTACTAATATTGATTAATTCTTTTTCATATTGTTTTAATATATCTATAAATTTTTCATTTAATAAATTATGAATTTTTGAACGTGTTTTAATATGACGAAATTTACACCATACATCAAATACTGATTCACTAGATCGTAATAATGTAAATGAATCATTAATTAATGAATTAGCTTCATATTCAAGATGTTCAACAAGATTATGAAATTTTTCTAATTCTTTATACCACCAAATTTTATTTTCTTTATTAAATGGATCCATTTTCATCTAAATATTTAATTGTATTTAATGAATATTATGATTACCTGACAAAACATTTCAATAATATTATTAACACGTTGACTTGCTTCATCTATTTTCTTTGTATCACATGTAACTGATTTTAATTCAGAACTAAAAATATTTCTAAAATCTTTGATTGTTATTAATATTTCTAATAAATTTTCACAAATTAAACATGTATAATCTGTATAACCAAATAATTTAACTTTATCAAATTCCCAACGAGCATCACGACCAACTGTTTCAATTTCAGAACGTTTTTCATAATATACATTTTTCCAATGGTTTAAAAGATTTATTATAGTTTTCATTAATGAAATAGACTGTTTTAGATCAGATCTAAAGAAAAAATATTGATTATTATTGAGTATAAATAATAAAAATAAAATAGATCATAAAACTTACCGGAATACATTTGGAAAATTAACAGCATGAATAACTCGATTAGTTATAGTCAATGCTGTTCGTTCAAATAATTGTACCATATTTTCATCACGATTATAATATCGGGATAAAACCCATATCATATGAAATGTTTGTATAAGTGGATGAATAATATCAATCAACGATTCAATTTTATTGCCAAAAGTTAATGTTTTAAAGTGTCTTTCTAATAATGAAAGAAATCTATTGTGAAAAAAAAGAATTAAAATAACTATTAGATGGATAAATAGATTAGTCTTACTTCACATTATCCCTGGCTTGTACATATAAACTGTTTGTTTCACTAAATAATGCATTATATGTATCATTTTCTAATATTTGATGTAAATGATAAAATCGTATAACATTTGATCTTTTCAATTGTTCTATTAATGTTCCAAGTATTAGATTACGATCACGCCAGTAGTCAATCAAGCTCAATGGACTATTATCATTTGGTTTTTTTTCTAGCAAAATATCTAATGTTTGACGAATCTGGATATTTGAAAGAAAAAGACAAAACAGATCAATAACAATGAATTACAATCACTACTTACAGGTTTTCCATGGTGGTCTAGCTTTAAATGACTCAAGATCTCAACTATTGAAATTACTACAATCTCGAAAAAACCCCTTCTGACACTAATCAACATATGCTCACTAATGACTGGCTTCAAATGGGACTGATGAGTTTTAGAGAACAGAAAACTTTTATTAAGATTTTTTTCGTAATCATTAGTTATGAGTATCAGAAATGGTTTTGTGGAGATTCTGATTTGGGATTCTGATACTAATCAACATATGCTCACTGGTGACTGGCTTCACAGGGTATATCCTGGAGTCCTAGTGAGAAGCAGTGACCAATGGAGTTCAACTGGGTCTGTTGTGCGATAGTAACTCACTGAAGACAATGATGGGTGTATCGCCTAATTTCGTGGATTAGTTGCAGTTATACATTAACAACGTTGGATGCCAGCCAGCTTAGTGGTCTAGTAGTTAAGTGCTCGCGCACAAGACTGATAGGCCCTGGGTTCGAATCCCGCGAGACGGGGTAGTGGATGCGCACTGCTAAGGAGTCCCACAACAGGACAAAACAACCGTCCATTGCTTTCAGGTTTTCCATGGTGGTCTAGCTTCAATTGACTCGTGATCTCAACTACTGAAGTTATTGTGATTCCCACAAAAGTCCTTCTAATGAAAATCATACCTGTCTGTTCCATGATATGATAGTTTTTTCAATGATAATAAATTTTGAACTTTTCACAATTTCTAAATCATCTTCAGTCACATCTATATTTGGCACTTCTAAAACAATATCACTATTCAATTGGTGTATAGTTGTTTCAACAATACGACAAAATTTTCTTGTGTTTATTAAAAATTCATCTTTTGTTTCAACTATTTGTTTCATTTCTTCATTTTCTTGTTGTTCTTTTATTTTATTTTCACTTAATTCTGGTTGATCTTTTTCAGAAATTTCTAGTTCCTGTTGATATTGATTATTCTCATGTAACATTAACTGTTGATCTTTTAATAATGGTGAATAAATTTGTTTTAATAAGTTTTGTAAATTTTGAAGGAAACTTCCACGCATATAACCCCATTGCATTTGACTTGGCATAAAATTAAATGTTTGTTTTAAATCATTCGGTGCATTAATATATCCCTTTGTAATTCGAATAAAATAAACATATTCTTCTGTTAATGCTCCAACGTCTACACTTGTATTTTTCATACTTAAACGAGTACGCCATATTGTTTTTCGATTAATCTAAAACAATTATTATAATACATTGAAAAATGATTGTATTAAATAAACCTTACAATAGTTGTATATTTTAAAGAGGTATCAGTCTCATCTATAGGTGAATCATCACCTTTTTCATTCATTTCATTATTGTTAGTATTGTTATTATTAGCAGTAATTTCATCAGGAATTTCTTTTCGATTAGTTGTCATTTCTTCAGGATTATCCAAATTATTGTTAGTTTGTTCGTATTGAACTTCACCATCAACATCTGTTAAACCATTTGTAGCTAGAAAATAATTATTTTTAAAAAGTTCACATGTAAATTTGTTTATATTTTCTTACATTGTTTTCTTGGTGTTTCCAAGATTTCTTCAACTTCTTCTTCATAAAATGTTTTATAGAATATTAATATTTGATATTCATCTTTCGGCGAATCATTTAAAAATTTTGCTAGTTCCAATTCATTTTCATTATCGTTACGTTCAAGAAATTCAAGAAATATATCATTATCCACTAAGTTCAACCCTTTGTATATAACATGTTTCATCCATTCTATACGTGTGTCATCCATAATTGTTGACAGACGAATATTTGTTGAGTAAAGTCAGTTGGTACAAGATCGGAAATATTGCTGCATTTAAAAAGACAATAGAGAAACAAAGTGAATTAGATCGTAAAGTAAAATTTTATTGAATATACTGACAATAATATGAAGTCTGAAAAAATGATAATAATCTTTCAGGATTAAAGTTCGAAAATATGCGACTTGTTACTTCATTTGTCCACGCCGAATGATTACTACAACTGAGACTTAAGAAAAAATGGCTTATTTGGAAAATGTAACCCAGTTGTACAATAGGACTGCTGAAAGAGTAATATGTTAAATTATACACTTAAGGAATGCCTTATCAAAATAATAATACCAGGTGATTGATTATATGTTGCAAAAAGAATAATTGTTGTTATTGCGTAGCAGAAAAGACAGATAATTCTTTAATTGTGGAAAATCATTGATAATTTGTAAATCATTGTACTACGTAAGGTTCATGTTATTGGGAAGAGCAAAAACTTGAATCAGGGTCGTGCTAAACATATTTCTATCATCGCTAACTTGCAAAAAATAACTTGCTTATAAATATGCTTCCACACCTGTACTACTTCCAATGGAAATCTTTTTATATAGCAATAAAACGCCAGCACCTACTCGTTATATTTCTGGATGGGTATGCACCTTTATAGTCTTCAACAAGATTCACCAGTAGTATTTCAAAGCCCCGAGTGCTCGACTATTCAACGTTTTCTAGTAACTTACCTCGGTTTTTAGTACCCATGGTTCAAATAATTACAGAACAGCTTGATTCGTCGTAAACATAAACAACATAAAACCATTAGGTAGCATTTTCTTTCAACTAACATGCAATAAATCTGTATGTTTCTATACTATTTTATCAGAAGTTTTTAATTATGGCTGATTCATCTAACAATAAATAGGGTTTTACTAAAAATAAGTGATTAAGGTCCATATAACTTAAGTAAATGACTGGATTAATTTTAGATATTAACATGATAAACCTAGTTATGAGATATAAACATGCTGTGTCATTTGTACTGCTTAACAAACTTTGTTGTACACAATTAGTTGGTACAATTAGACTCAATATAAACATAAAAATCTCACTGAAGTAACAGTTTCTCATCATTCGATTCCAAGCGCAGTATCACTAGATGCAATTTGTACTGAATAATAGGGATTCAACATAAAACAGGTAGCAAGCAAATAATCAACAGTTAAAAATTGTCCTTCCAGTAAACAAAGTAGCTTATAATGATTCAAAAATTGTGATAACTATACTAGCGTTGTAATTTTTATCGCAAATATAAACCTTTGAGCATAAAGAAACCCAGCGGATACGGCACCAACAAAGATTACGGGTAAAATTAAAATTGTCTAGCTGGAAAACTGTGCTTGATGGAGCGCCTCGTGGCGCAGTTTGAGGTTCAGTGTTGTTCCTTCCGTATGTAACCGACCGACCTAGTCTCCAACAACCGTCGGTCTTGCTATATGCAGACGATATCAAGATATGGAAAGCGACAAAAAGTGAAGGTGATAGCTTAGAACTTTAAAATGACTTAGAGAAATTATCTGAGTGGTGTAGAATTTGACACTTGCAGATAAATGATTCCAAGTGCACTGTGATGCACACTGGTCACCAAGGTACATGTACATACACGGTAACTAACTGTGACTACCTGTTATCCGGACACACAATAAATTAGAAGTCATTGATGTCCAAGACTTAAAAACCACTTCACACTGCAATGCGATAGCCATCAAAGGTTTTAGGACTTTATGATCAATACGTGGGACTTTTGGCCATTTCTATGCTAAAACATTTTTTTCTTTGTATACAGCATTCATGCGTCTTAAGCTCGAGTATTGCATACAAGCAGCTATCCCCTGCCTAAAATGAGACAATGAGCTGTTGAAAAAGGTTCAAAGACCTACAATCAAGCTAATACTCGAAATGAAAAAGCTTTCTTATGGCTAAACTATACATGTTTCCATTGTTGTATCGAAAAACCAGAGATGACTTGATCACAGTTCTTAAATTCCTTGGTGATAAATTGACATATGATATGCCTAAATTTTTCTTGTCTTTCAAAACAGAGGGTTTAAAAGGACGCTCTAAAATGTTCACAAGCCCAGAACAAATAACTACTTATTTGACTATCGGCTTTCCCATTGAATCATCAATGAATGGAATTCATAAGCTTAACAAGTGATTGAAGTTCCATCTGTAGATGCTTTCAAAAGGAAGTTGGATCAACTAACAGACACCACTTACAAAACTAGCACAGGTCACCTAGTCTAGCGCCCTTTTCATGTCGAAACTGAAATTGTAATGAACAAGAGTTAGGTACACGTTTATAAAACATTCTTTTTCAATTGGAATTGAGAATACCTGTTGCAGTATATGTTCTGGGCGAGATTATAATTCGTAGATGAATCAATGAAGAACAGGAAATTAGCTCATCTATATGGCTTAATAGCATTTCAGCACTTCAGTTTAAGCTATAATAATTATGATATTGTAGCAGTAAATAAATCCCCAAAATAAATATGTCAGTTGACATGAGGGTTTGACAAAAAAGTCTTCTCCACGATTTGACTGACGAATGAAAATCTTATTTTACTTCATAATCCTAAAATCTAGCTCCAAATCCTAAATTTAAATCCTCAAACTAATTCATAAGCAGGTGAGTTGTTTCAAGGTGACATAGTCGTCGCTCCAGTTCCGTCAATGGTATTTAGTCTCGGTTTGCATAGCAAAGCGTTTTGATACTCAAGACAACAATGAAGCTTAGACAAGCAAATTTTGCATGCACTTTGATCACGTGTAAGGCTTACTGTTTCAAATCAGTACAAACAACGAAAAACCACTGATATAAGGTATTTGTTATAAGCGGCATACACTAACCTTGGTTGCTAAGTTATGTAAACATATAAACAAACAAAACATTGAGACAGTGTGGTCAGCATATTTTTAAGTAAAGGACTAAGTAGTACGTTCTAAGATATCTCAAACCATTGTGCTAAATAAATATAAGCCAATCTTATCAAAAAGCTATAGAAAGTTATCGATTTCTTGGTAATGATGATTTATATAAAGAATATGTCTCAAGTTTGTAATTCTTCGAGTTTTTGAACATCCACAACCATTCTAAGGACCTTTTAAAGCCGATTTAACCGCGATTGCACTGCGAAGTTGACAAGAAGACTGTGCTTACTTACGCCGCCCCATTTTTGCTGACTATAGTCTTACCCAAATTCAGTCATTAGACTTTATTTGTCTGATAACGAGATTTCTCGAGGTTAATGGGTAATACCTCATGTATTTCATAACCATGAGAGCCATTATACTACATTTTCGTACGACAACTGAACTGTGAAATGATTTTATTGTTTTGGTTACACTCCAGCTAGTTAGGATTTCCTTGTTTGAACTCCTTCATAATGCATACTACTACTACAGATCACCGACACAGGTGATCAGTGTCGAATGGTTGGAGGCTCTCTCGAGCCAAAGGCGCGTAATGTGGCCAACCGGCTAGCATCATGGTTAATACCTAACGTGGATTGCCCTTTCATCGTATCCAGGTACCATGGCTACTGTGATGATCGTACAAGACAAACGACGGTACTACAGAAATACGTTAGTAGATACAAGGAACAGAGTGCGACCACCGCTGCATGAGCAAATCTATGGCGTACAATTGATTAATGCACGCTGGTTGTTTTTTACCTTGATGAGGATAGGTTAACTGCTCGATATTCAGTGACTCGACTGCCAGATGACTTGGTGGGGTCTCAGTGACATTTCTCTTTCGCTACGCTACATTGTACGCGCTTTTTCCAATCACATCAGTATCTCTATAGTAATTGCGCGCTATTAAAAAAGGACAGTGGTACTTTTCCTCGCTGAGTAAATTTCATTGGTTTGATCGTTTATTACGTATCAAGACTACTGTTTTCACTTTAATTGAACTCATTTCATTTAAAGTATTCGACTGGAGTACCGTTTTTACCCTTCTCTCAATTAGTTTTGTCGTTGAAACCTTTGAGTACCTCATTTTCAATTGTATTTGTTAGTACTTTTGGTCCTAACAATCTACAGTTCTTCACTTTTTGGTCATTGATTATTTTTTTGTTTCTGAGTATCATCGCATCTCGTTCCTTTATGAAAAGGATTTCTTTTAAATGACAGGACAGTGTAAAGAAAAGCAGTTGCTAACGTCCGGGTTTTCGTTACCTCGTTAAAAGCGGCATGCACTGCGATGAGTGCAAAAGCTGGTACCACGAAGTTTGCACGAACTTAACGCCTGTGGCTTTAAGCGGTTCAATAAGAAGGGTTGCGTATGGCTTTTTCAACAGTGCTGTCCGGATGCAAACAGCCTGTTAACCGAGGCTATCTCACTGGTTGATGCTGCAAAGAAGTGATTTAGCAAGCGCAGTCGGAACACGTCAAACAGCACTCGATCTGTCGACACACAAATCGACATGAAGCAAACTAAGGTTAGTTCGATAGTAGATGACTCACGCCGGTCTAAGAAGGAAAAGCAGTCTCCAAAGGGGCCTGCCTTAAACAAAAGCTCAAGGAAAGTAAGTTCTTCTGTTCCCCGTCTCCTTGATGGGATCTCACAGAAAAAGCCTAGAAGCCGCAGTCGCAAGGCTCGATCGGTTTCAGGCGGTAAACATAACCTGACCTCTCAGTCGTCGACAACCCTCCAGAATCCAACACTAGGTTCGACGCGACTGTTGTTGCTTCTCCCAGCACCGTTGACGACTGGGTACAGGTTGTAAGGGAGAAGCAACGTAGCGATATAAACGGAAATTCTACCCCCGTAAAAGTAGTCGTAATATCGAAAGCTGATCATAATGACAGATCAGTTATTTTTCATGGAATCAAGGAGAGTGAGAGCTCTGAACCTAAAGCTCGTTTTGAGCATGACATTGTACTGATTAAACAGCTGCTTCCAAAACAGAGGATTTACGAGGACACTCCAAAAGTC